GGCAACACCTACCCAACATTGATTAATCAAGAAAGCTATACTGAACTGGTTTGATACTTGTACTTATATGATAGACCAGTGTTTCCCAAACTTGACAATTTTAAGGCATGAGGACTTCAACTCCCAGAATTCCACAGCCAGCAATGCTGGCTGTGGAATTCTGGGAGTTGAAGTCCACATGCCTTAAAATTGTCAAGTTTGGGAAACACTGTGATAGACCATCAGGAGCCATAAGGTTTTGGCTAGACTGAGAAGTTAGAAAAACATCACTGAAGAAGGCAATGGTAAATTAGTTCCTTATTCTTTCCCAGATAAATTACATACAGAGATACAAAAGATATAAAAAACAAAAGTTGTCATGTCGTCCATTAAAAGAAGAGCAAATCTAAATCCCGAATGAATCTAAAGGTATATCTTTAAGCCATCTGATTTAAAAATAGTGTTCAAGCATGTAAGTTTCTAATACTTTTTCCCTTAAAAGCCAAGAAAAAAAAGCAACAAAAATTGTGGGTTTTTAGCTATTTCTTTGATATGGCCTTTGGAGATTCATTGAGTCCCATTAAGTATATTATTTTATATTATATCAAAGGTTTGCTCAAATTTGCTGGAAAAAAGAAACTACCAAATAGAATTAGCTTTGAATTCCATTTGCCAGAGGGATACTGAGTGCATTCCACACAATATCCATATTTTATCCAGCTGTTAAAGTCAAGTCTCTTTCCATACTTAGTGAGATTAAAAAATATATAAATTGGTGGAAAACAGAAAAACAAAAACTAGGCTAAGTGTGAGCAGCTGGTGCTAACGAGCCATATATGATCCTAGGCCCTTAGATTAATTTCAAAAGTCACTTGCAAGCAATCAGTACTGACCTTTAGTGACAATTATCTATTTCTACCCTGGCAACCTACTTGGAAGAGAAAAATAAATACTGATAAAAGAGAATATCTGTAGCTCAGGGTTGAACTCTGGTGTACTTAGTGCTCTCTGAGCTTGGTGATTTTCTTGCAGATGTTTCATTACCAAACTTGGAAACACCATCAGTGCTAAAAAGAAGTTGGGTTTGTTCTTATTTTTATATTCTAATAGCTTGCCCTATCAGTGTTACTTGTGCTGAAAGAAAAATCTTCATCAGGGTTTAGTCCAAGCCAGGAATAAACAAAATGGAGACTGCTTTAGAAAGCAAGCTGTAGTTTATTGAAGAGCAGAGCCAGACAGAAATGTGGTTCTGGGAAAGCTGACCACATGCAGTTGGGAGCGATGGGTTTTTATATCTTCTTGGGCTTTTGTGTTTGGAGTTGCTTCCTGTTCCTGTGGCATGAACTTTGACCTGAGGTTCGGTGTGCCCTTTTAGTGTTTTGATGGTGGTGGGTTAATCCTATTATGTCCTAAAGGTCATAGCCTGCTTCTCTGGGGCTGGGGCTGATGGCTTACTTCCTGTGTTGGATTTTTTCATTGAGGCATTGCTGATTCTAATTCTATCACTCTGCTATTGTTAATTGTCAGTTTTGCTGCAAGCGATTTCAAAATATTTTGTTCTGAATGGCCTTCTCCCTGGTAGCATTTGCTCATGAACAGGGCCTCAGTCTTTCTGAATGGGGTTATCAAATCTGCATTTCTACAGACCTGGCCTCTGTCTAGTTTCTGCTTGGGGCTATTAAGAAAAACTGGGCCTGTTTTTCTGCCTTTAAGATCTTTTGGGGAAATATAATATTCTGTCTTTTTAATATTTCATTCTATGGGGGGGCTGACACTTGTCATTGTCTACATACCATTCAAAAGAGACAATTAAAAAGCAAAAAAGGAAACAAAAAAACCAAAATACTTACCCACCAGCAATCAATACCCAAACAGTGATTAACACCAAGATTAATGCTAGATCAACAATCAAGAAGTAAACAATACCCCTATCAAGGAACTACCAATGCAGACAAACAAGCTAACAGTAAACCACAGCCTAATCAATGAACCACAAGACCACTCCCACCAACACTGACAGGGCAAGCCACAAGTATATAAAAATAAGAGCAAACCCCACTCTTTAACAGCACCAATGATGTTACCTAATTTGGGATGAAACGTCTGCAAGATAACCATCAAGCTCTGAGAGCACCAAGATTCCAACAGAAAAAATGAATATAAATGACAAAGAGAGGTAAGGATGAGTCTGTTGAAAGAAAAGTCTTCATCGTGGTTCAGTCCAAGCTGGGGATAAACAATATGGCGATTGCTTTGGAAAGAAGGTTGCAGTTTACTGAAGAGGAGAACCAGACAGAAAGATGGTTCTGGCAGAAAAGAGGAAAGAAAAAAAAAGGGTTAAGCATATGTAGGGAGTGGGTTTTTATACCCTCTTGAGCCTTTTGTCCTGTTCCTGTTTGAGGCTTTGTATTTCCTGTGTCATATATTTTGACCTGTGTCCCTTTGGCATCTGTGAGTTAATCCTATTATGCCCTGTCTTAGACTTTGGGTGGGGTATGTAGATTTTAGGTGTCTTTGTCTTCCTAAGCTTCTAGCTCCAAATTTCCTGAATGGTCTGCATATGCATTTCTATAGAGCTGGTTTCTGCTTGGGGGAGGCAGACTTGGGGCTATTAAGAAAAACTGGGCATGCTTTCCTGCCTCTTTCAGATCCTTTGAGGAAAAATATTTTTCTGCCCTTTTAATATTTTCTTCTCTGGGGAGCTGACTTCCCACAGGTCGAAACCAGGAAAAATAGGATGAGAATATGAAATAAAGATGATGATATTTTCACTTTTGAATCTGCCTTAGCTAACCTACTTTTTGTTTCATTCATGTCAACTGGTACTTTCTTTTCCTGAAGGTCTGTCTGCTCCTCCAGGTCAGACAGGGTAGGTGTGCTCCACATTTCCTAATATTTGCCAGCCAACATTGCTTGGCTGACAGACCCCGTAGTGTGTCCAACCTGCAGAATCAAATTGGATGAGTAGAAACCACTGGGAGAAGATGGTCCCTTAGGTCACCTGGTTCCAAGCCATGAAGGGCTTTAAAGGGGAAACCAGCACTTTGAATTGCTTTTATTCAGTGCTTTTTTTGTTTAAAAAAAAAAAAGGTGCCGGAACTCACACACATCATACAACCCGCCTTGCCTACCCTACAAGGTTCCATCCAAAAAAGGTGCCAGGCGTTCTATGACAAAAAAAGCCCTGCTTTTATTGATGTATTTACTACTTATATTGATACATCTATTGATAAAAACTAAGATTGTGTAAGATGTACAATTGGACAAAGGAGAAATCACATTGTCTAGTGATGGAAAGGTATGTTCCTCACGGAATACAGCCCCTGCAAGCTGGCATGAAAACCATTACAGGCTGGTGGATGGGCCATTTGACTGTTAATGGCAATTCAATTATTTTTCAAATGATGTATGATAATAAAATTAAACAGGAAATATCATTTTCAGAAGAAAACACATCCAAAATGAAATTTACGGTTTTACTATTTTAGGATAGCTAAAAGTTGGAATGTGATATGCAAAGCAGCAAATGCTACTTTTCTTTTTACATGAGATAAATAATACTGGGTTTTTATTTTGTTGGTAATATGCCCCACTATATCCCATTGGCAAATAATGTTTTGGGATCTATGGGTGACTTCAATCAAGAAAGTGATTTCGGGCACTTGATTATGCTGTTTTCATTCATTCCAGGAAGGTGACACTGTGCTTGGTGGATATCCTTGAATCAAACATGTAAGCTATTTTCAGATTTTTATCAAGTTGTCCATGAAGGAAAATACAAAATAAAATCTTCCTGAATAAGTCATCATGAGGTCAGCTGTGATCTATAAAAGCACACACACAGATTGTATGGGGTTAGATAAATCATGGCTTAGATAGCATTGAGTTAGGACTGTTGTACAAACAAAACCATTATTTCTGTAAACAAGTTAATCTTATTTCGACGGACCTTTAGGGCTACCTGAGCTGAAAAATCTGTACTAGTTAAAGAATTATATCCCCCTGCTACTATGCAGGTAATCCTCACTTATCAGAAGTAATTTAAAGTGGTAATTCTATCATTAAGCAATATTAAGCAATACTATGGCAGTTTCACGTGACAGCAGCAGCTTACAATGACAGTTCCAACAGCCTCAGTTACTGTCCTTAAGTGACTCCCACATCATCACAGCGTCCTGTGATTGCCATTTGCGATCTGCTGGCTTTGCTGCGTTGATTTCGCTTAACACAGTGTTTCTCAACCTTGACAATTTTAAGGCATGTGGACTTCAACTCCCAGAATTCCACAGCCAGCAATGCTGGCTGTGGAATTCTGGGAGTTGAAGTCCACATGCCTTAAAATTGTCAAGGTTGAGAAACACTGGAACAGAAGTGGGCAGCAAAGGTTTCAAATACTGATAACGTGACTGTGGGACACTTCGACGTTGTAACTGTGAGCCAACACCCATATCATGATTACTTGACCATGGGGATGAACTCTGAAGACAAAACATACCCCTGTTCAGAGTCGTCATAATTTTGAAGGGTCACTGTATACATTAAGCAGGAATTATGTATACTGTGACTGTCTGGATACGTTCAGCCTTAAGCTAATATCCAAATAAGTAAGCAAGCTTCCCTACAGCCACCTGCATATCGATTTTCAACTTAAGACTTGCAGGCAGATTTTCATTTCTAAGTAAAAGGGAGGCTTTCTCCCAGAAGGAAAGGAGAACAAACTCCGCCCATCTCCCTCTCGGTTGGACGCGCGACAGACAACAGCAGCTTCAACGACCAATTAATTACCGTATCTCGACTGCAGAAACGCACGTGACCGTTAGAGGCCTCCCACCAGCCACCTCTAAGTCTAGGCTCCCATCTAGCGGCGGCGTGGACTATTGCAGGCGCCACGCGGCGGCGCTCCTTCCGCTCCCACGCGGGGGCGGGGGGAACGCGTCCATGCATCCTTTTGCCGAAAGGGGCAGGGCCAGGCAAGTGGGTCTCCGGTTGGGGCAGCTCGAGGCCCCGCCCCCTCCCCGAAACGGAAGGCCCAATGAACCACGTGACGAAAAGACCGGTCCGAGGCGGGCTTTGGAGGCGGAAGTTTCGATGATCGGAGAGCCGAGGCTGCGGGCTCCGGGCCCGCCTGGGCGGCGCTGAGGAAGCCGGAGCTTCGCGCAGAGTCTGCCATGGCGGTCTCGAGAGGCGCCTGGCCGCTGCTGTGGGCGCTGCTAGCTCTGGCGTGGGCGGCGAATCAGGAAACAGACGAAGAAAATGTGAGCGTCCCCACCCCCACCCCGCCGTCCGCCCATCCCCGTCGGCCCCCTTAGTTCAAGGCTGCTTTCCCTGTCGCCCGCCTGCCTTCCTGCTTCCCGGCAGCCAAGAAAAACCTCTCAAGGGCCGGGGGAGGCAGGGCGTCCCACCCCCTGGATAATTTGAGCCAAAGTGGGGTCCACGTCATTTAAGCTGCCATCCCCGTCTCGCTTCCCTCTTTCCTCCCCTCTTCTCCCTTCCTCGTTGGTCTCTTACTTTTAAGAGTATTTCCATATATTTCTAAAGCAAGGCATAGCCTAGCCAGCGAACTGTGAGCAAGATCAGAAATAATAATTCTTCGAAGAGGCCGATGTTTTTATGATTTCAAGTTGCTTTGATTCTCCTCCCTCCCCAAGTGTTTGTCAACTTCTTTTTCTTGTAATAAGATGCTTAAACCTATAATGCTTCTTGCTCAAACATATAATTCAAACACGGTTTGAAAAAGCATCTCATTCCAGCTAATATTTTTTAATTTTGTATTGAGACTGGATATGGCTGTCTAGTCTACATTTGGCTACAATTTCTTGTCACTTTCCACAAATGAGATTTAATGCTTTCGTCAATCTGCAATGGTTTTAAATTGGGATCTCTGGGAAAAATGAAAAAAAAAACATCTGAGAGAAATTTTAAAATAGGAAATATAAATATATATAAATAAATTACTGTTTTTGTTCCTCTTTGTTCAATATATACTCCCAGAGAGCCAAAATAAGGACAAAGCACAATGGGTAACTTTTGCATGTTAATATTTTATCTATGTATCTGTCTTACTGTGTAAGAGTTGATTCAAATGAATTTATTTTTGGCTGAAATAACATCTGAACAGTGCAAGTAGAAATTATATATACATATATTTTATTAATTTATTTTTATTCCATTTATAAGCAGTCATAAAGCAACTAAAAAGACAGACATTTTAAGTATATACTTAAATGTTATACAGTTTGAATTATATGTTTATAATTATATATTTATATTCTAGATGGTTTTTAATATCTCTATAATTCAGTTTCAAATTCAATACAATTATAATGATTAAAACCAGCAGTATGAAATATCTCTAAAATAAAGGAGTGGTTAAAGGGAGATGTTTTCAGTACCTTAATAAATTATATCAAAAATGAAGCCAGATCCACTTCAGTAACAAGTTGTTCTATAACATACCTATTACGGAAACAATATAGTCCATGTTTCAGTTCACTGAGGCATGTCCACACTGGGATATGCAAAAAGTACTGGACATTTAATGCATCAGATGGGCTGTGCAAAGTACATGATCATGTAGATAATTCGGGCCTATGCCACGTATGGCTGTATATACCATAAGCATATCCTGAATTGGGCATAGAAGGTAATGTGGCACTCTGTAAAACACTGTTTACACTGTGCTTTCCGGGCAAGTTGAAATGTCTGGATCGTTTTTCAGGGCTATCCTATGAAGTGTTTTATATTGAAGATGGATTGAGATGTTTCTTCAAACATATAGAACTTTCAGAGTTGCAAGATTCTGTTAAAGTACCTTATACAATAAAGAAGAATTACTTCATTTGGACATGCTTCCTACTTCATTTGGGATACCTCATAAGGCTGACATTGTGCCTCCTACTGCAAAATCGCTTTTGTTAACTCTTTGCTATTTTCCTTGGTTGCCAGGACACAGAGATGTTCCCTCATGTTCTGACCCTTTTCTCTGAAGTTCCAGATTCCTATCATCTTCCTTCTGCTTTTTAATTCTGTGAAATTGCTGTTTGCAAATATGTATCAGCTGGATTTGTATGCCACAACCTATGTTTAAAATAATCATAATTTAGTGTAATGACTAGTCAGGTTATGTGAACTTTTCCTTAGTTAATACTGTCTACTTAGCCATAACTAAAGCTCAATAATGTTAATAGGTAGCATTTTAATCCTGTTTAATATAATTATTAATGGGATAGTAGCACTTAAAACCTTGAATATCTTACTCCTAAATAAGATTTAATTGCCATATTTTCCTCTGAATAAAACAAACTTATGAATAAACTTGAATTGCAGATGACTCTTGCAAATGCATTTCTGAGCTTTTGTCTTTCAAAAGCTTAAAAGATTTTTGAATTATGCTGAAAGCCAATACACATTTATCTGGAAAATAAAATTTTAGTTTAACAGGCATTTTTTTTGAGTAGGTTTCTTGGCTCCATCTAGTCTGCTTTTGTTCCAACACACTGGAAAACCGCCCTTAAGAATTTCTGTTTCCCTGCATTTATAATTTTTATAATTTTTATTATTCTGACAAAATCATTCTTAATTCACTTTACCTTTACAGAACTTTCTGGATATCCGATGTAAATGCATATGTCCACCATACAAAGACCATGGTGGTAAATATTTAAGTAAAAATATTTCACAGAAGGATTGGTAAGTATATGATACTTTATATTTAAGACAATAGAATGTTTTAAATAGTTCATTTATTATTTGTGTTTGAAAAGTATTTTGGATAAAGGAAACTGTTAAATCTGGATGCTTAAATTGAGGTTGTTTGTGGTCATTGCTCGTAAATAAGGTTATATTTGAAATAACATTCAGAATAATTTTTTTACATTTTGGTTTTAAAATCATTTATTTTAAAGTTTTTTTTATATAAGACAATGTAATGATTTTTGATATAACTTGAGATCTTAAAATAAATCGGATACATGTCTGTAGGCTGATTTTTCATGGTTTTAGATCATTGGCTTCCATAATGTCCCTTATACAGTAGGTGTAGATTAATAATAATCAAACAGCATCTGCCTATCACAAGCACTTCGCAAGGACTCAATAGGTGGATAAAAATGCCAAATCTAGCCTAAACTTGGCTAACTATGTGACCAAGATAGTAATAATATACACTACCCAATTTCCAGCATCTTTGGACAGCTTACAAAATGTTAAAAACATTAGAACGAAACAAAAAGAACAAAGATGGCAGAGATAAGCCCAAATGAGAACAAAGAAAAAGTAGAAAAGGGGGCTTCAACCATGCTTGCCAAAGGCCTTGGTGAAAAGCCAGGTCTTTCGGAGCCCTTCAAAACACCAGTAGTGTGAGCCCATTGAAATCCCTCTGGGGGGGGAGAACCTCATTCCTGAGGGTTGGCACTGCTACAGAGAATAGATGACATTGTTTAATCCAAGGAACCCAAAGCATACCAACCCTGCTAGATCAGATTGGCTAGGCCAGTGGTGGCGAACCTATGGCACGCGTGCCAGAGGCAGCATTCAGAGCCCTCTCTGTTGGCACGCGCAGGAGCCCCACCCAGCACAAAAGAGGTGAAGTGGCCGACTAGCAAGCTTGAGTAGAGGTGATAGAGCAGAGGTCACCAACCATTGTTGATTGGTGGACTGGAAGAAAAGAGAGGGGGAAGCATTTTACATGTGTGCATGGGGCCGCGAGCACACACGTGCTGCAAATGGGGTGAGGCCAGTGTCTGCGTGATACCACTAGCCCTGCCCCGTTCTTGCATGGTGCAGCGCCTTGTATCTGCACCCCACGGCACGGCCGTTTTTGCGCCTTGCAGCACAGTGGCCCATTTTTGCGCCCCCGGGTTTTGCGTGCTAGAGGCGGCACTCAGAACTCCCTGCCCCCCATGAGGGCACCACAATGCTGATGCGGCCCTGGCACTTTGCAATAAATAAGTGGGTTTTGGGTTGCGGTTTGGGCACTCGGTCTCTAAAAGGTTCGCCATCACTGGGCTAGGCAGATACAATGAGAGACAAGTTATCCTTCAAGTAACCAGGCCTTATGCTTCAAGTCCCAAAGCACCTTGTTATTGTCTACTTGTTATTGTCTATTGTCTACTTCTGGAGAAGAGCAAATTTCCTGAGGAATGGGAGGCAGATTCTCTCAGTAGATATTAAGAGAGAATGCTAAAGCATTCTTGTCCTTATTGCAATGTTCATATCACGAAGACTGCGTAGCAAAAGACGCCTTTTCTGTGGTGTTATTTATCATGAGGATCCCTTTTGGTGATAGTGTTAGATCATATAATTTATTTTTTTTCCAGTAGGGGATTAAATTAATCCAGGTTATCAAAGGTAGTTGTAATTACAAGCTGGTTCAGTTAAAATTATTTTATTTGTCTGGTAGCATAATGAATAGCTTTAATTTATTCAAAATTGTTATGCAGTTATGAATGGAATGTGCTACTTTGTCTTCTCATCTTGGTACAAAAATAATTATACGCTTATCAGAAGGATTACAAAATAGCTAAAATGAAGAAAATGTGTCCAAGAAGACTTATAAAAACAAACATACTTGGAGGATTCTGAGTATACATGTTCCCTTATTAGTTCTATATCATTGAAAATCCCTTATGAAAATATAATATGACATTTCACAGATCTACTACATCCTCAATCCGTAAGCCTCATATTATGATTCAGTCCAGAAATACTGAATTTTCTGCATAGGATTAAAAGTTCCTGAAATATGGATGAGGAAGAAGGAATTACTATTCTGTAAAACAGGTCTGGAGCATATTATATTTATGATAATTTTTATAAAATAGAAGGAAAAACAGATCATGGCTGAAACAATCAGTCCTATTGTTCTACAATCATTTGTCTAATGAAAATTATTTTCTTTTGAAACCTGTTTCAGTTGTTCCCTAATTTTTGCCACACAAAAAGGATTTTTTTCATAAAGTCCATTTGTCTTAAATTATTGCATGTCCTATGATTTTATGCCAAATGAAACTCCTTGTAATATGCTCTTACTATATTTTAGAATATGGCTTAAGTGGAAAAGTTAGGAGCATGATAGATTTGCAGGGAAGGGTATCGAAGTCTCGTCTTTGAGTGATTAGTAGTCCTTATTGATGCTACCAGTTCCAAATAACAAAAGTGCTGTCTCTCCATTTAGGAGGCATGATAGTTGATGAAAGATGTAAGATTCTGAGGTTAGAAGAAGATGATATTTTGGAGCTTACTTATCTAAAAGTTCTAATGTTGACATTTAAACAGATTTGTTTGCTTCCTGGAAATCACTAATTTTCTAATAGGTTAAATACTAATGAGACAAATTAAAAATTTAAGCTGATACTATGTAGATTAAATGTCAAGTATTTCTAACGTTCATACAAGTTAATAATAGATCGGTTAACTCTTCATTTAGGGTTATATTCAGCATGTGTTCTTATTGGTGAATATTTCTCTCTGATAGCATAAATTTATCTAAATGTCTGTCAAATATTTTTTCCTTTCCATGCAGTGATTGTCTTCATATGGTGGAGCCTACTATGTCAGTTCTAGGACAGGACATTGAAGCCTATTGCTTGCGTTGTGAATGCAAGTATGAGGAAAGAAGTTCAGAAATAATAAAAGTAAATTATAACTAATGTTCAAATGTCTTTTCCCCAAATCCACATGTATTATAACAGTATCTTAGATTATAAAATAGTGAAAGCAGGGCATTTTTGTAAAATTTAATTTCCTTTTTGTGAAAACTGTAAATTACTGATTTACAGATTAATCTGATCATAGCACTTAGGTCCTAAGATATATTACTTTGTTATGTTATCTAAGTCTAAAGATCATATTTCCTAAGATGATATTTCCTGAGATGCTAAGACTTCTAAATTTTTATCCATTTATTTATTTTTATGGTCATGAATTGCTTTTTTTGTTTTCAGTTTTGGAAACATGTTGGATTACATTACATTACATATTATTCTGTCCTTATCTGTCTTAATTCTTACCATTTCAACTGTAGTCCATATGATTCAGTTTCTTAGCATTAATTTTATGGAATTTTGTAAGCTAGTGGATATACATCATTCTAACTAACTTTTTCTTGCCAGTTCAAAGTATGCTTGAAAAATACTATGTATGCTGTTCAGTATGCAGAAAAATTACCTTTGTTTTACAAGTGTACAAGCAGCTTGGGACTGATTGCACTTGTTGAGTATACCCAGGGCTTTTTTTCTCATAGAACGCCCAGAACGGAGTTCCCGCACCTTTTTTGGATGGAACCTTGTAGGGTAGGCAAGGCGGGTTGTATGATGTTTGTGAGTTCCAGCACCTTTTTTTTTTTTAAGAAAAAAAAGCACTGAGTATACCTGATATCAAACACATTTGCCTGTAAGCATGCATATGATGCATCTAAGAAGATTGCCTTTTAATTTGTACAAGAAACTGCTTATACTGTTGGATATTTTCTTTTGCTTATGTTTCCTACCTTATTCGGTTGTTTCTAGAAGAATATCTGAAATTTAATTTAGTGCTCACTTTTATTAGCTGGTATCCAGTAATTTTTAAAGCCACATTAATCTTTAGAATGGAACTGGATGCAATTATAATAATATTACTTGAAAATGTGAGTTTCATCTTCTATGTCTTCTCCTTAGGAAAAAATGTGGTCTTTTGTTATTTTTTCAGTCCATTCTAAATTCATAATTATATTTCTTTGATTGATTTGTATTTTGGGGATAAATGGATGAAAATAAGATGTGTTGTAGTTTGCTAGACATTTCAGTTTTCTTTAACAGCCTATATCATCCAAATAAGTATGATCTTAAGTGGCATAAATTGAAATATTGTTTTGTATTATATAGATTACCATCATAATATATTTGTGCATCTTGGGTCTTCTGCTACTATACATGGTGTATCTCACTATGGTAGAACCAATTCTGAAGAGACGTCTCTTTGGACATTCACAGCTAATACAGAATGATGAAGATGTTGGGGTAAGTTCTGTGTTTAGTCTATTTAAATATATGTAATGAGTTGTCTTATTACAGTACAGGTTTAATTTTGATAGTTTAAATAGGATTTAAAATCTGACAAAGATACTTTCATTAAGACTTTAGAATTGACTGCTGAAGTGAAAACAGTACTGTTATTTTCCAGCAGTACTGTGTTGGAAAACCATCTTTCTAACAATAGATGGTTACTATTGATTGTCATTGTTTCCAAAATAATGTATTTCTCTTTAAATATTGTTAATTTTTAACAAAGCAATATTTAATCTTAAAAAGAAAATTTAAAAAACTAAAAATGCAAAGAAGGAAAAGGAAAACCAGAAAAAAATTTTTTGTATTTATATTTATCAATAATTACCTGTTTGCTAGTGAATTCTCTACTCTAATATGAACAGTACAAGATATTTATGGGGTCTCACAGAATCTCTGTCATAGTAACACATGTTGCTGCATCTTTTGATTGGTAGAAAATAAGTAGATAATTCTTTTAGCCACCTCTTGTTTGATAGAACCCTAACTACTGATAAATAGTCAAATTCCAAAACTTTGGTATATACTGTAGTTTAACATTATATTAACATCTTTAACATTTGATGATCTATTGAATAGGGATGACTTGGTAGTCTTTATGCCGGTCATTTGATATTTCCTATACAAGGTTAGTTACAAACATTTGTAGAAATGTGCCACACTCCATTCACAATCCTTTCTTGGGTACAGATGATGTTTAGATTCATAAATAAAGGTAGTCTTTGGGTTACAACACTAGTTGGGACCAGAATTTCTATTGCTAAGCAAAGTGGTAGTTAAGCAAAACATCACATGACTATATTGCTTAATGACAGCAGCCATGGTTGTGGTCATAGGATGACAGCTATGTGGTTGTTAGATGAGGCCTCATGCTTCTGCCTTATGCATACAGATTCAGCTTGAACTTCCCCTGCCTATCTCCCCCATCTCTGCCCTTAGCAAGGCTGGGATGAAGAGACTACTACAAATCCTGTGGGGCAGCAGATCTATCCACCTTGCTATAGAAGGCTTTTAAGCTGCACATTTAACTGGCAGCACAAGAAAGTGTTTTTCACAAATTTCCCCTTCACTTATAGCAGTGATGGCGAACCTATGGCACGCGTGCCAGAGGTAGCACTCAGAGCCCTCTCTGTGGGCACGCCCGCTGCTGCTGCCAGTATCTCAGTTATTTATTTATGATACTTATATGCCGCTTTAAGTGCAAGCACTCTCTAAGCGGTGTACACCACAGCCCTGCCCAGCACAAAGGAGGAGAAGCGTCCAGCTAGCAAGCTCGAGTAGAGGTGGTAGAGCACGCCCCCATGCGCTCACTGACCTGCGTGCGGGGGCCAATGGTGTCAGGCAGCAGCCGTCCCTGCCTCGCCTCGCCTTGTCCTGCAGCAATGGCACCCCCATCCTACCCCCCTGCCTCACCCTGCAGGAAAAGCTTCCTGCCCACCACTCCACCCATCAGAGATCCCCTGGTTCTCCCCCAATCCTGTCCAACCCCACAGGTGTCCCCCCCATGAGCAAAATCGAGGTAGCCACACCTACCCCAGCCATGCCCACCCAGTCTGCCATGACTACCGTAGCCACACCCACCCAGTGAGCCATGCCCCCCTCCCCAAGGGCACCATAATGCTGATGCGGCCCTGGCACTTTGCAATAAATAAATGGGATTTGGATTGCAGTTTGGGCACTCAGTCTCTAAAAAGTTCGCCATCACTGACTTATAGTCTCTTGTACTCTCATAAAATCTGCCTCAGATGGTTAGAAAAGGGAACCATATGAAGAAGAAGAAAATGTTTCACCTCCCCATGGATACCCTTCTTCCCACCTAGTTCACTGTGAGGAAAATTCCACTCAGCATGCGCTTTTGCTATAAAGTGTAAATGCTGACTAAAACGTATAGTATTGGGGTGTTTTCAGTATTTAGAGTATAATAATTTTGTCACATACTTTAGGGTTCTCTGTCAGCAGAGTGTAAGCATAGGGCCTAATGCAGTGGTGGGATTCAAATATGTGAACAACCGGTTCTCTGTGTGGATGCCGCTTCCGGAAATCCATTCTGGGCCTGGGCAACAAAAAATTAGCTACCGGTTCTGCTGAAGTGGTGCGAACTGGCTAAATTCCACCAGTGACCTAATGTCATGCATGCTTGCTTGTTGTTGTTGTTAATTGCGAAATCGTGTCCGACCCATCGCGACCCCATGGACAATGTTCCTCCAGGTCTTCCTGTCCTCTACCATCTTCTGGAGTCCATTTAAGTTCACACCTACTGCTTCAGTGACTCCATCCAGCCATTTCATTCTCTGTCGTCCCATTTTTCTATTGCCCTCAATCTTTCCCAGCATTAGGCCCTTCTCCAGTGAGTCCTTCCTTCTCATTAGATGGCCAAAGTATTTGAGTTTCAACTTCAGGATCTGTCCTTCTAAAGAGCAGTCGGGGTTGATTTCTTTTAGGACTGACCGGTTTGAACGCCTTGCAGTCCAAGGGACTCGCAGGAGTCTTCTCCAGCACCATAGTTCAAAGGCCTCAATTCTTTTGCGCTCAGCCTTTCTTATGGTCCAACTTTCACAGCCATAAATTGCAACTGGGAAAACCATGGCCTGGACTATATGCACTTTTGTTGGCAGGGTGATGTCTCTGCTTTTTAGAATGCTGTCTAGATTTGCCATAGCTTTCCTCCCCAGGAGCAAGCGTCTTTTAATTTCTTGGCTGCAGTCCCCATCTGAGGTGATCTTTGAGCCCAGAAAAATAAAATCTGTCACTTCCTCCATTTCTTCCCCATCTATTTGCCAGGAATTGAGAGGGCCGGATGCCATGATTTTGGTTTTCTTAATGTTGAGTTTCAAGCCAACTTTTGCACTCTCCTTCTTCACCCGCATCAAGAGGCTCTTTAGTTCCTCTTCACTTTCTCCCTTTAGAGTGGTATCATCTGCATATCTTAGGTTGTTGATATTTCTCCCGGCAATCTTAATTCCAACTAGCCCTGCCTTTCTCATGATGTGCTCTGCATATAAGTTAAATAGGCAGGGCGACAGTATGCAGCCTTGCCGGACTCCTTTTCCAATTTTGAACCAATCAGTGGTTCCGTGTCCAGTTCTCACTGTTGCTTCTTGACCGCATATAGGTTTCTCAAAAGAGACAAGAACTTGCCACAATTTGTTGTGATCCACACAATCAAAGGCTTTTGCATAGTCAATGAAGGAGAAGTACATGTTTTTCTGGAACTCCCTAGCTTTCTCCATGATCCAGTGTATGTTGGCAATTTGATCTCTAGTTCCTCTGCCTCTTCGAAATCCTGCCTGTACTTCTGGTAGTTCTCAATCCACATACTGCTGGAGTCTAGCCTGTAGGATTTTAAGCATAACTTTACTAGCATGTGAAATGAGTGCAATGGTGCGATAGTTTGAACATTCTTTGGCATTGCCTTTCTTTGGAAGTGGACTGTAAACTGACCTTTTCCAATCCTGTGGCCACTGTTGAGTTTTCCAAATTTGCTGGCAAATTGAGTGTAGCACTTTTACTGCATCGTCTTTTAAGATTTTGAATAGCTCAGCTGGAATACTGTCACCTCCACTAGCTTTGTTGTTGCTCAGATTTTCTAAGGCCCATTTCACTTCACATTCTAGGATGTCTGGTTCGAGGTCAGTGACCATCTCATTGTGGTTATCTGGGATGTTAAGCTCATTCTTGTATAGTTCTTCTGTGTAGTTTTGCCATCTCTTCTTAATCTCTTCTGCCTCTGTTAGGTCCCTGCCATTTTGGTCCTTTATCATGCCCATCTTTGCATGAAACGTTCCCTTCATATCTCCAATTTTCTTGAAGAGATCTCTGGTCCTCCCTATTCTGTTGTTTTCTTCTATTTCTTTGCACTGTTCATTTAAGAAGGCATTCTTATCTCTTCTAGCTAGCTCTCTGGAATTCTGCATTCAATTGGGTGTATCTTTCTCTTTCTCCTTTGCCTTTTGCTTCCCTTCTTTCCTCAGCTATTTGCAAAGCTTCCTCAGACAGCCATTTTGCTTTCTTGCATTTCTTTTTCTTTGGGATGGTTTTAGTTGCTACCTCTTGTACAATGTTGCGAACTTCCATCCATAGTTCTTCAGGCACTCTGTCTATCAGATCTAATTCCTTAAATCTATTTGTCACCTCTACTGTATATTCATCAGGAATATGATTTAGTTCATACCTGAGTGGCCTAGTGCTTTTCCCTACTTTTTTCAATTTAAGCCTAAATTTTGCAACGAGAAGCTCATGACCTGAGCCACAGTCAGCTCCTGGTCTTGTTTTTACTGACTGTATAGAGCTTCTCCATCTTTGGCTGCAGAGCACATAGTCAATCTGATTTCTATGTTGACCGTCTGGTGATGTCCATGTGTAGAGCCGTCTCTTGGGTTGTTGGAAAAGAGTGTTTGTTATGACCATCGTATTCTCTTGACAAAATTCTATCAGCCTGTGCCCTGCTTCATTTTGTACTCCAAGGCCAAACTTGCCTGTTATTCCGGTTATCTTTTGGCTTCCTACCTTAGCATTCCAATCCCCCATGATGATAAGGACATCATTTTTTGGTGTTAATTCTATAAGGTGCTGTAGGGCTTCATAGAACCGGTCAATTTCATCCTCTTCAGCACCAGTGGTTGGGGCATAGATTTGGACTACTGTGATATTGAATGGTTTGCCTTGGATTCGAATTGAGATCATTCTGTCATTTTGGGGATTGTATCCCAGTATTGCTTTTCCTATTCTTTTATTGACTATGAAGGCTACTCCATTTCTTCTGAGGGATTCTTGCCCACAGTAGTATACCTGATGGTCATCTGAGTTAAATTCACCCATTCCTGTCCATTTTAGTTCGCTGATTCCTAAGATGTCGATGTTCAGTCTTGTCATCTCTTTTTTTGACTACATCTAGCTTGCCTTGATTCATGGATCTTACATTCCAGGTTCCTATGGAGAAAAAATCTTTACAGCATCGGACTTTCCTTTCACCACCAGATATATCCACAGCTGGGGGTCCTTTCGGCTTTGGCCCAGTCGCTTCATTCTTTCTGGCGCTACTAGTACTAGCCTTCTGCTCTTCCCCAGTAGCATATTGGACACCTTCTGACCTGAGGGGCTCATCTTCCAGCGTCATATCTTTTTACCTTTTAGTACTGTCCATGGGATTTTCATGGCAAAGATACTGGAGTGGTTTGCCATTTCCTTCTCCAGTGGATCACATTTTGTCAGAACTCTCTGCTATGTCCTGTCCGTCTTGGGTGGCCCTGCACCGCATAGCTTATAGCTTCATTGAGTTACGCAAGCCCCTTCGCCACGACAAGAAAGTAACTTAATGTATTACCAGAGGTTCATTATGAAGACAAATATCCAGAAGATTTAACAATGTCTAGCAGAATGTATGGAGATCATTAATACCAGTTTGTCTAAAATTTACAAATATCAGTTAATAAATGTCATCAGCACCCCATATTATGTCGTTGCTATATTTTAATATGAACATTAGTATTATGTATTTGCTTGAATAGTTTTAGGCCAGCATTTTCAAACAGCTGAAGAAAATAAAACATCATAAATTCTGTCAAGTATAAACATCAAAATACATGGCAGACAAAATCAAGTTTGAAAAGCATGTACAGAATCAAATGACTGTATCTTAATAGGGCATTAAGTAATAATTGCAAATCATATACATCTTCATTTGAAAAATAATTAGATATATCATGATCTGAACTAAAAACTTTTATTATAACAATTTCGAAGTCAGTTTTTTTTATTGAAAAGTTAATTTGGAGATATAAATTTAAATGCTTCAGTTCTGAGTTACTCATACTAATAAAGAAGAAGAAATACACAAAAAGAGATTAAATATTTGGTTTTTGACACAAAATAATGCAGAAAATATATAAATATTTTGCATTCTGGAAGTTGTGCTAGTTGATCATTCTCATCATCAAACTACATTTGGAAACAACTAGACATATTTATAATACCTAATCTCTCTGAATTTGAATAATTAGATTTTTGGCATAGCCAAGAGGAAAAGTGTTCCTATTGCCTTTTCCCTGAGTTTATATGATGCAATAATTCCTAGAAAATATATTACTAACCATAGTATTCAACCTTTTTGAATGCCTAACAAAAGTTAGAATTTAATCAAATGTAGTTTAACTATTACAGAATATTGATTGCCTCACATTTTATTATGAAATTCATAAACTTTGAACACAACGCTTAGGTACAGTAAGATCATTTAGTACTATTTCATGACAATTGAACAGCAGAATATTTTGTTTGTATATTCTTAAGAGTATAGATCATAGAATGTTTTTATCAAGGGAATAAATTCTAGCAAAGACAAATTGAAGTATGAAATAAATAAACTGACAAAGAATTATGCTACTTGGTATATAGCTTGGTCATTTGACTTCCTCAAGTTTTTTTAAATATTCGAATTGGTATTGTGGCCTTGTCAAGTTTAGCTATAATAACTTTTATTTTTATATTCACTAGTTTGAACTAACAGATAGTTAAGTAACTGTTAACTAACAGTTAACAGAACTGAAACGTGTGATCTTTGATTTCTTAAATTTTTGCAAGTTATATCACATTCATCAATTACGATCTTTGAATTATAGAATATAGTCCTTTTATATGCAATATTTATTTATATATCTAAATTATATAGCTGTCCATCTTATAAACAAGTGACTCTGAATGGTGTGTTTTTCTCTCATATACAAAAAATTCAATGAAGCCCATGAGAAAAAAATAAAAATCCCTGTTCTAAGTATTCTGTTAATATTGTTGGTGAGCTTTATCCATGAATCATCATGTACTCTTGCCTAGGAGACTGCCATTATTAGCCCACCATGACTCCCCCTACGTCTTTTCCAGAGGGCCCCCAAATTATACAAAAGAGAAAGAGTTATGGGAAAAATCTTCCAGCTATCAGATCCTGTTCTTCTTGCCTAATAATATTGTGACTGGGTGCTGTTGGTATCCTCTGTCCTTACTTTGCTGTGACTTCATTATAAAGCCATGTGATTCCTGGAACTATTTTACCTTAACATTCAAGAAAAAATAAGGAACAAAATTGTTCAATTACTTATTCTATATCTAGCTAATTTTTTTGTGAATTTCAGTAGAAACATAACTGAATCCCTGCCATCCATATGGGGTTTACACAAGAACCATGATTTGAAAATTTTTCAAATATGTTAGATTCATAGTTTGGTGGATTTCTATTTCATTACAGTAATGTGAAGTCTTGAATAATCTGATAAATTAAAACATTAAGCAGTATGAAGTATAAAATTGTTATGTAAATAATTAGCATGACCTTCTCTAAATCATACCTTTAAACATAGTGTTCAAAACATTTTAAAGTCTATTAGCATTTGATAGTAAATGTCCATGTTTATGGATTGCATTTATTCTTTCATATGCTTAACATTTGAATGTTTAATATAAACACATAATTGTCTTGGTATTTTGTCAACTAAGCAGCTGTATTTTTGCTTTTTATTAAGATATTGAATGTAAACTTATGTGTGTTGGTATTCTTTGACATCATGGAGTGAATATTCAAAACAGCTTCACAATAGGTATTGCTGGTAAATAATACAGAAACTTTGTGAAGTCACATAGTACTGGCTATTTAAATTTGAATGCCATCTTACAGAAAGATGAATATAATTCTAAGTGTTATAACAGTACCCAAAGACACATAAATCCATGTCCATAGGTTCATTTTGTAGTGGAATTAGTCCAAAAAAAAAAGAAAGGAAAAAAATAGGGCTCTTCTTCCCTATTGATGGATTTAGATTGTCACCCTTTCTAATAGTTATTCCTTGTTGAGGGGGGGGGGAGTAATCATACATTGTGCAGTTGCTTCCTCCATTCTGATGTATAAGGCTAAATAGTTCTCCCAGTGTCCATTATTTTATATTTGCAGGCAGGTTGCGTAACATCCCTCTAGTGCTTAATCTTAAGATCTAATAACATACCCTCAACGTTATTGTTATATGAATATTTACAATTCTTTTATTGCTTTTTTTGTTCTTTGTCTTGGAAAGTCACATATAGTGCTATTAGTAGTTGACATTATGCAAGAACTGGGTGTTTTCACATACAGGTAGTCCTCAACTAATGAACACAAGTGGGCCTGGAATTCAGTTGATATTGAAACTTTCTATATATTTGTTACTCATGATGTTAAGAAAAGAGAGTCAGTCTCTCTCTCTCTCTCTCTCTCTCTCTCTCTCTCTCTCTCTCTCTCTCTCTCTCTCTGTGTGTATGTATGTTTGTACATATCTATCTGTATCTCTATCTATCTATTTATCTCGGCTTCCTTTGGAGAGGAATTGATTTATATTTTATAAGTAAGAATATAGTTAATTTATATACATCCTTCTATAGAAAGTAATACATTTTAATTTTGTCATCTGTCTCTCTCTCTCTCTCTCTCTCTCTCTCTCTCTGTGTGTGTGTGTGTGTGTGTGTGTAATTAGGATATATCTGTCAATGCATATTTAGTTTGGAAAAGAGGCATACTAAGCAATAATATTTAAAAAAAAAATTTGTTTATTTCAGGATCACCAGCCTTTTGCAAATGCTCATGATGTGTTGGCACGTTCCCGAAGCCGGGCCAACATGTTGAACAAAGTTGAATATGCCCAGCAGCGATGGAAACTCCAAGTCCAAGAACAGCGTAAATCTGTATTTGATCGCCATGTTGTGCTCAGTTAATATGGCCAGTGACATCTCCAAGATATTGGTTGAAATGCGCTAAAATAAATCACTGACCTCTCCCTGAAATGCCACACCAGGAAGTTTGTTTTTGCATCTTACCAACAAAGATAGCACAAAACACAAATGGAAGATCTGAAAATCTTTTAATAAGCCAAAATCTCTGTACATACTCAATTGCTTTTACTAATAAAACATAAGCAATTATTTGCGTGAGCCTTATAAAATGAAGAGAAAATTGCCTATGGTTCTTAAATAAGATTTACATGAATTTGGAGAAGAATGTGCAGCATGTATGTTACAATGATCTACATATGAAATCTTTTGTAAATACATTGTTTTCTTATCACCTGCTATGTATTGTACATATAACTATCACTTCTAAAACTTTGAACTGTTAAATTATATTTCTATCAGCTTGTTAGCTTCTATAAATATAAGGCAGGCCCTACATGTACAGAGATAATTGGTAAGCTAGAGGCTTGACATATTAACTAACTAAAGATGCAGACTTAGTGCAGTGTGCAATTGGAATTGGGACCTTCTACGTTGCTTGCTAAAAATTCCGTGTGATATCTGCAATTCATGTAAATTTCAATAGTTGGTGAATAATTATTTTTAAAAATTAGCTTGATAATGGAATGCAAATAAAGTCTTCAGAATATTGGTATCAGAAGTATTTATTTTTTTGAAAAAAACCCACACCCTTTATAGTATTATTTCATATCTGATCTGAAACCCTATCTGCAATCCATTTTGGCTATTAGGCCACATAGTTGATACCCACAAGAAGTGAAAGGATGAAACTGTTAAACTAGAAGGACTCCACAATATTATTTTTTTTAGTTGTTTGAAATAGATGCTGTAGCATTTTTGTTCTAGTGCTTGGAGGCGGTGAAGATTGGAGTGGAGCAAACAAGAGTTTGATTAAATCCATTTAAAATAGAGCTGTTGTTCATCAATATACAATAGAGCACCCAAATAACATCAATCCCCCTGGTTTCTCTAGACAGGTTCATATTGTCCCTGAAAGAGTTCGTTAGTTCTCTTGCATTTATAGCTCCTGCTTAAATAGCAGGTGAAAGCTTTGATCAGGAGAGCTTTATCCAGCTTCCACTACTGTACCAGTAACAGGTCTTCTTGGACCACAATGCCCTGATGACAATCTCACCTTAATGACCACTTACCTAGATTTTTGCCAAATACTCTGTCAGGATGGCTTTGGAGATAATCTTGAAGTTAACAGCTGGTATAAAAAACTGGCGGGAACATTAGGAGGTCAATCCCACCAATACAGAATAACATCTATTTTAAAGTCACTTCAAATAACATCTATTTTAAAGTTCCAACCAGGTTTCCAAATCTAGTTTGGTTGTTATCTTTTAAATGCAACATTGATTACATCATGCAGCCAAAACTGAATCTACCTCTTTGGTTTGGTTATTGCCTGCGAGAGTATAGATTCCTTGCCTTTTCCCCCCAATAATTTTATTAAGTATTATATTAAACAAATCTAACACAAGGACCTAATTCAAAAATACAAAAAAGTGTGGAAGAAAAAAAAGTGCCCCAAAAAAGCTAGTAAGAAGCTAGTAAGAAGAAACTTTCCCCTTCATCCCCAGAAAGTATATTCAACATTAACAACTTATCACTGTCTTTTAAAATACAACCACATAATCTTCATTTCATCACTCAACCCTTTTTCTATGAACTCATCTCTAAATCTTCAGCTCTTTATTAAGGTCTAATAAAAATTATCCGAAATACCGAACAACAAAAGTATATAATCCCTCTTTCCATTTAGTCTAAAAACCTCTCATCCCTTTCTTTAACAATGAAAATGTAATCCCAATTAACAAATGTTGCAAAAAAATTAAGTAGTAAATATTATCAGAAATAATGGATGAAGTGAATGTCACAAATTAATCCATTATATCAAGTTAAACATTTTGTCAGGCTAAGCCCAAGAATGGCATGGAACAATTCAGCCAGAATTCAGTTCTTTATTTGCTTACACATAACATACAATATCTTGCCATATTAATTCCTTATGGACATACCTAGGAGATTCTAGGGAGTGGCAATGCCAACTTTTTTTCACTATCTCCATCTTGGGTGTGCTGCCTCCTTTCTCATCCCCCTCCTTTCTGGAATGTGCTCCTGTCTTCCTGGGAAACTGCCATCTCACTGTAGTCCTTCACACCAGCTCCCCCTCTGTGGGCATTCTTTCACACATCTCTCTGAGCAAAAGGCCTATCTAATCAAAATAACCATTAAACATAATCAGAGATAGTAAATAAAATTAGCTAATTTTGTACTCCCCCCCCCTTCCCAGCTACTCTTAATACCGGTAGATACAATTCTGACTTCTGTTTTCTTCCACTATCTTTGCCTTTTCCCTCAAAATTCTTATCATTTTTATCCAAGATCTTTCTAATTAACTTCAAAAAAATTTCTTTAAATCAATTTCATCCAAAACCTTACCACTTAAAAACAGCTGTATAACCACCCTTTTGCTGTGTATTGCAAAAACTAATTACAAAATTGGAAAAACATTTTTCTTTTTAAAATAAATGGATTGAAGAGAAAGTCACCTGTGATTGTTAAATTTGCAGATCTGAGGTTTTTCAATTTTAAAAACAATGAAAAAACATTAAGCTCCGAAGTGAAGTTTGGTCAAACCTTATGTCCTCTGCACTTACTACTCAGAGGATGAACCCATAACTCTCAGCTGATCACAAATGGATGCAAAAAAAAAAAAGGTTTTTGCCATCTATTCACCAAAATTGTACACATGAGCAATCTCCAGATCTTTTAGACATTTTCAGCCGTACAGATCTAATATCCAGCTGCCTTTTTTTTTACTATAATACCCTCATGATCCAGGGAGTGGAAAAAATGTGGATGATAGTTTGCCTTGCCTTACCAGAGGTCCCCACCACTTGTTTTTCTGAAATTCATGGCAGATTTCTGTTGCTTCCATTGTATGGAATAATCTCCCAGCAGAGGTCAGGGGATTCCCAACTTCCTAGCTTTTTGCAAGCAGATTATAAATTTATCCCATCAGACTATGCCCCAAGCTGAATGGGGAAGCCACTAAGGTTTTTAGTAGGGGTTGTATTATATGACTTGTAGTTTTGTCCTATTTTTCACTGCCTAGAGTCTGATGACAATGAGAAGTTGAGAAATACCAATAAATAAACCCTAGTTTCCATCCATTCCATTCTGCATACGATTCCATGGATGAAAACCAAATGGGATGCTCCAGCACCTTACCTTGAAACAATGTCATCTGATGGGACCTAGGAGGTGGGGCTTTTGGGTTGTGGCACCTGATCTGTGGAAGAACCTTTCCTTTGAGATTTGATTGGGGCTCACACTGTTAGCCTTCAGGAAGGCTTTGAAGATGTGGCTATCTCATTGAGCACTGGGTAAGGAAGTTAGATGAGTTCGTCCTGTAAGATATAGCATTTGCTCCTTGTGCCCCAACTCTGAGTTTTGTTGTTGATTCCTGGTTGGTTTTAGTATTTAATACATTTTAACTTTGCTTTATTGCTATACACTAGCATGAGTTGGGCGGCTGTATTAATCTCTTACATAAATAGGCAGAGAAAATGAGCATTTGGTATATTAAGCTTAACCAAACCACACGGACACCCACAAAAATTCATATAATTGGGAGGAAAGTATCGAGCCCATCTCTCTGCATAAGAATTTGAATTAAAGCATCCAGGATCTTGAAGTAATCCATCAAAAAGGAACTCCCTATTACCTGTTCCTGCTAGTACAAAATTTCTCTGTAAATCAGCTGCATGTGTGTTAACAGTCTTGCAGGTTCAGAGGCCCATCTTAACATGTTGTTTTTCACTGGCCAACCAGATATCTGTAGCGTGCGTGCAAGCAGGAGATAGAGATGTAATCCTTTCCTGCCATGCTTCCTTGACAGGTACTTCCTGGTACTTGGAGGGATGCATCCTTCGCAAAATCCAATTAGTGCATCTATGGTACTGTGACCTCTCCTTTAATGCATTAAAAAGTCTGCATTTCTTGAGGAACTACAAAATGGAGACAGCTTACGCAGTCACTGAGTGAAACTAAATCCACAAAGGAAGAAGATTATAGTTTTTCTTGTACTCTCCTTGCCAAGCTGCAAGAAAACCTTCGTGTCTGAATGTCCAAAATGATTTTTTTGCACATAAGATTTGAAATTGGTTCAAGGATTGTAGGTATCTATATTCTCATTGCAGTATGAGTTTTCAGAATGAGTTTACTTAAATATTTTTTTCTAGTGCAGCTTTGCTTCAAATATCGGGGGTCTTTGGTGTTCTCTGAGTTTGCTTGTTTTCTGGCAGACGTTTCATTACTCAAACTAGGTAACATCATCAGTGCTGAAGATGTTACTTAGTTTGAGTAATGAAACGTCTGCCAGAAAACAAGCAAGCTCAGAGAGCACCAAGGTCATATCAACCCTGAGCTACAAATACCCTTAGCTTCAAATATCAGTTTCTGCTAGCCATTCATCGTTTTAAGGGATCAGTTAGTTTATTTGTCCTCAAATCATCAGACTGAGGTTTTTCTTCTGTAGTTTGAAACTGTTCAACTGTACTTGGTCCTTTCTTATTTTAAAGTTGGTTTACTGTATATTGTATCTTGGTTTCTAGAAGCATAACCTCCTGAATTTATTATCTCTCTACAAAAGTTTATCTCATTCCACTATCCCATTTGTAAAAGATTTTTGTATAACCTTTCCATTTAACTTCATCTGGGACTATAAGAACGATTTCCTTATTAGTTTTAAGTACAAGACCTTTCCTAGCTGTAAAAAAATTCTGATTTTTCTAAAAAATTTTTTGTTTTGTTTTTGTGGTTATTTTGGCTATTGAAATTTTGACTGAGATGTTATGCCTTGTATTTTCTTGCTTGGAATTAGTATTGCTGTTATCATATATGCTCTAGATCAGCGGTCCCCAACCTTTCCAGTTCCACGAACTGGCAGGGGCAGTAGCACTGCAGGAGGGGGGGGGAGAGGGGATGATTTCGCATGCACACACGCCACTTGCACAAATGGAGCTTTGCCCACTCATCCACCACTTGTGCAGTCTGGTTTCCAATGGACCGTGGACCGATACCAAGCCGCAGACGGGACTGGGGACCCCTAGTCTAGATTGTACTCATATTTTAATTTTCCTATCCTCAGCTCTCTAGCTATTGCCTCTGCTTTTGTCTATTATGTCCATTATAGGAAAACAATGGAGCTAACTGGGATCTACTAAATGGAAAACTAACTGGGATTAGATTAGTATTTAAGATTGACAACATGTGGGATTAATGATGTTTAATGTTTCATTGCTTGCTGTTTTCTGCCCATATGGAATTCCCACAATTCCCATAGAGTTTAAATTATATATTTGGAATTATAAACACAACCAAAACCCCATCACTGGGAAGGCAGCCAGGTTGGGATGGGGGGTGGGGGAATTGCTAAAAGCCTACTCTTCCATTAATTTCTTACATTGTTCACTTCTTTTCAGTTTAAAAGTTGAGTTTATTCCTTTAATGAATTGTAATCAAAGACTTAAAGTCGGTTCTTTACATTACCAGCTCTGTTGATAATTGGATAGCCTTCTGGCATTGAGTCTTACTAATAAGCTGTCAACTTTTTATGACATTTTCAATTAATTTTTTTCAGACAGTAAACATTCAGTGTTAAGCTATTATTTTGATGATAAAAATGATATAAACTTAAGAAACCTACATAAACATAGCAGATCTAGTAAATGCATCTATAATTAGAATGTTGCAACATATCTTGGAAGGATATAAATATGCTACACATTAGATATTAACAGTCGTATAATATGTTATGCATTCAAATCCATCAATATTTGTTGCCTTTATAGCTACAGTGTGGGTGGAAGAAGTTAAACCAGAAATGAGCAGATCTAACTGTAAACTACTTTGCATATTGTCATTTGAGTATAAATTTATAGCTGACTTTGAGTCAATCCACCAAACATAAGACTGTGGAAGTCAGGTAAGGCACCCAGGCTAAAAGCAAATTTGCATGGCTTTTATTAATGTTAACCTCGGATTTTTACATATCTAAATTATATATGTAGTTAAATATTTCAGGGGCTTTTTATCTTCTGTAATGCAAAATATGATTTATTCTAGTGTGATGCTCTAGAGCTCAGCAGTTGTACAATATTTTAGAATTTGCTAAGAGATTTTAGAAGTTCTCCATTTCACCTTATAGGAATTAAGAATTTAGGCTTGTTTTCCAACTCCTAGTACTTGCCTGATATTGAAGCAGTTAATCTGAACCTTCATCTAACATGAAGTATTTTTCTCAAATGTTCTGAAGCAATTAGTGTATCTAAACTCATTAGGTAGATTTCTTGTGTACCACAGAAATTCTAACAATATAGATTGGCTAAGCTGATATGATTTGATTACTTTTACATACTTAAAGTGAAATGTTTGATGGTATGTTGTTATGAAGAAATCTTCCTTGCAAGAAAAGTTTTGATTGCTTATATGATTTCTTATAAATAAACAAATCCATGCTTAAGAAAGGATAAATGTTATTTCTGTACTGTTGATATAGAATGTTGCAGCATAGTAGAATAAGACATACACAAAATACAATGTCCTTTATTATTGGAAGATTGATAAACATTTCATCACATATTATCCAAACAGGATGTATGTGCTAAAAGATAAGACCCAATCCAACCGAAATGAAGCATATTTATGTCTGTTTGATTTTATAGAACAGTTACTAATACTGTAAACTCTGTAGAATATGTCCCCTTTCCCTGGGACTAATTATGATATAAGATGAGCAAAGTTAGGTATAGACTCAAATCATGAGGACTATGTGAAAGAAAGGATAATGGAAATTCTTACATTTCTTGTAAAGCTTAAAATTTGTGAAGCTTGGTCAATCTTAACATTTGTGAATCAAGGTAAAGAGCAAAGATTTACTGGGGTGTAAACACTGATCATGTATATTGGCAATGTAATCACATCCCTTTTTTATAAGAATTTTACAGCTAAGTAGGTCAGGGCTGCATCTGTACATTCTCCCACATATATTCATTACATTTGAAGTGCACTAGAAATACTGTTAATCACACCTAGTCTTGGGCAACCTGTGACTCACTGTGCTGATATGCATTTATACATTTCAGCTTTACCTAAGACACCATAGCCAGGAACATCTCCTGGGATGCCATGGACAAATTGCCAACCATCAGTGACTCGTACATGGGACAGATGTCCAGATTTTGCTATCGAGACCTTTTTGCCACTTTTCATTTGTGCCCAGAGGACCTCGGTCAATTCAGTGGCCCCGAAGAGTTGGCTCTACTTCCATTAACAGCAGATCCTCCAACTCCTGATAATTTCTATAGCAATCCTTGTAGGTTCCCATTTCAAGTCCCATGTGGAAATTTTGGCAGGTGTGACTACTCTTGCAGCCCAGCATTCATCCAAAAAAGAAATGAAAGGGAAAGGCAGAGAGTTAAATGTGTCAACGAAGGCTATGCCAAACTTAGGCACCATTTACCACCAGAATACTTAGACAAACGGCTCAGCAAAGTTGAAACACTTAGAGCTGCAATTAAATACATCAAGTTTCTTCAGTCTCTACTTTGTGATGATTCAGAGGAAGATTGCAGAGGAGTTCACCATTCCCCCCTCAAGAAGTACTCAAAATGATCCATCATCAAGGACTTCATAATTTCTTCTGCATAGGGCAAATGCAATCAGATCTGAAAACTCCCAAAATATCTTGCTTGTATAGATCAAAACTAGAAAATATCAAAATAAGAAATATCTTTTCCGTAGAGATCGAAACTAATTGCAAGATTACCACTGCTAGACAGTATCACATATGCCTGTGTGCAGATTTGTGCAGATTTCAAATAATTACATCATTTAAATTTTGAAATTATTCTTAAAAATGAACAATAATGTGGGAACAATTTTTATTACCAAGGGGCAAGGAAATAATCCCATTGTGTCATTTCAAGCAGTGCATTTTAAGTAAATATATATTTTAATAAAAAGGATTGAAAGATTCTGGTATTTTGTGAAAATCATTAATTTTATTTACAGTTTTCATAAAGATTTTTTTAAATCCACTCAATAATTAAAATTCCCTTGAGGGTGACAAATAAATTACTAAATAAGTTTATAAAGTTGCTGGATATTTGCCTAAAAGGCAAAAACTGTTATTGTAATTACATCTCTCAAAGCAAGCTGATTTGTATAGAAAATATAGTACTTTAAGACATATACTAAGAGGAGAGGCCTATGAGTCTTGGGATACTGTCATTAGATTTTCTATTTTTGAAGTCACCATTTTGATTTTTTTTTTAACCACACCTTATGGACACTTTAGAGGTCTTTTTCAGATTTGACCTTGCTGACGGATGAAGAAACAGACAAACGTACTAGGTTTCAATTTTCTGAGATTCTGCCTCCAGTTGGATCAAACTCATTCATAGCTGAGATATTTTTGAAGCAATTTCTACTGAATATGAATAAGAAAACTATCTTAGCAACTAGGTAATAGGCACAAACTGAAAGTAGTCCGCAAAAAATGCTGGAAGAAGCTGATTCTGCCAGTTTTATTTCTTCCTCATCTTTCCCTCTTGAAAAAAGAGTGCAAAGGATGGATGGATTGAGTAGGATTAATTGTGGATCAAATGCTCTTTCTGCAGTAGCACCATGAAGGAAGGAAGGCTTCATTGCACACACAGATATAGGATGCTGAAGAACATTTTCTGTCAGCTATCAGTGTTCCTTCTCTGATCTTGCTTAGTTTTTGGCTGTCAGTAATCTGAGAAGGAAGATTGAGACCACTTTTTGCTGACAAACTGTGTGTGTGTGTGTGTACATTAGCTTTGCTCTTTTACATTATATTCCTGGTAGCAATGAGTCCATGGCAACCTCCTTAGTAACAGGAAACATTAGCGACCAACTCTGCCCAGCAGCAAAGCAGTTTAATATTGCCAAGAGCAGTCCAGCTCAGTAATTCTTTAGCACAGCAGACTCTGGTGAGTTGTTTTTTAAAATTGCTTTTACATTGATAACCTCTCCAATTTTCCAAATCATTTTACAAAAAGCTAACTGACATACCCAATACTATTTCTGCCAGTACTGTACTTGTTAGCTATTATCACTTAATTTCATTCAATCAAGTGAATTCTGCTGTAAGCTTCTAGGATCTTCCAACATACGAGACTTCTTGAAAGATGCTGGAGTAGCAAAGTATACCTATACTATTCTATAGTTCTTTATTATTTAAGAGTTATGTTTTTTTAAAAAGACTAATGCTATAATATTTTTCTTAGATAATTACCTAAGGGTTAGTCGATGAAATGTAAATAAAGTAAGTGATATTTTTTGTTACTCAACAAAATTAAAAAAAATAATATTATAAATGCAAATTGATTCCCAGATATATTCTTGAGAATTTAAATTTGCCTACAAGGAACATATCAGAGTTTTAAAAACACAGAATGCTGCTCTGCATTGATACAGCGGTGCTATTTGGGCATTGATGGACAAAGAAAACAAGAATACTGAAGATGGCTTTTTAAAGAAAGACTAATTGATAAATAATTGAAAAAGCAACCCTGCTTTATATTATCATTTCATCCTAATATGCAGAGAAGTACAGACATCAGGAAGTGGTCATTCAGAACATGTAATTGATTACCCAACTACAAGGCAGGCAAACAAGTAAATGTTCAGAGAATTAACAAGGGTAGTTAGAAGACCATATTAGAGAGAGGCTGGTAAAAGAGGGCTCCAGACTGCTTGAATAAGCTAGTTAGTCCTAAAAACAGATCCTGTGCTCAGCAACTTGGACGTAAGTTCTAATGACTTTACAGTGACAGCTAAGGATACTTACCTACTGATACTTAGACATACAATTATCCTGTTACATGACAACTCTCTAAATTATCTAAAGCATGTTACATGATGTAATGTACTCTTTGCTGGCTGAACTCCAGATTCTTTTAATCAGAGTATCTCTTGTGGGAGAATATCATCTAAACTCTTTTTTTACATTTGGAAATTGCTTCAAAACTATTTCTGGGAGTTGAATAAAGCCATAAGCCAACCAGCACAGTTATTGGTAAAGCTATCTGCTTTCTTTAATCCTGACAAACTATACTAAGTCAAATTGTATATCTCTTTGAAGTGATGTCAAATATTTTTAGCAGAATATCTGCTAAAGTTTGAGATGCCTGGAGCTGCTATCACTTTGTAAATATTAATTTGACAGTCACAAAAATAATCTCTCACTGGCTGTCACTATGAAGTCTCTTTATTTTGAAAAGTCAGTCAGGATAAATGCGGAGAACACTGAACAAATCAAAACATTTCTTTAAGCACTTACATGAGGTGCTTTCTGTATCATTAGCTATCTGGTGAAGACAGTCCTTGTAGGAGATGTCCATACAGTATTTCTGATAAGAAAGTAATTATAGGAACCTGGGAATCAGCAGTGAAATATTGCAATGACAGAGATGTATTTGCCATGTGATTTTCCTTGTGCTTTTTCTTCTCAAGAGTGCATAAAACATGTTGTCCTGAGTCCTGTCAGCAATAACATTCAATGCCTGCCTGTTTCTGAACTTCATTTAAAATGCTTTGATTTTTATATTTAAATATTCAAGCAACTTGAGACCAGGCTATCTGACAAATGGTTTTCTCCCATGTATATATCTGAGATTCAAAGGTGGTACTCCAAGTATCCCTGCCAAATGAATTCGTGTGACTGGCTACATAGGAAATGCTTTTTTTTTAAAAAATGATAACACACTCATTTGGAAAAGCTTCTTCAGAAAGACTGTCTGGGATTTCCAATGTTAGGTAAAGACTTATTTTGCCCAAGTATCTCAAATTGTGTGTGTTTGTGTGTGTGAATAATGTCTCATCAGTGTGATACAGGCTCAGTCTTGATAACTATGGGTAGGGCTAAAAGCAGATATGTTTGAGTTTCACTTTTCATTATCTTGAACCAGACCATGCACCAATGAGAATTTGGAGAGGTCCCGTCCCATTAAATTTGGAGTGGTGCTAGGCTGAGGATGATGAAAAGACACTGAGGGGAACACTACTGAGCTAGATCAATATTTTGACTTAAAGTAAGGTAATCTTCTATGTCCATTTCTTGAATATATGGTCAACTTGAAAGATAGGGAGCAACATTTTGATCTTCATCTCAGGCCGCGCATGTCCCATATGCTACAAATGAGGACAGAAGTTTGGGGCTACTATTTCATAAACATGGCCAGGAAAAGAATACATGTAAAAAAAAAAGTACATAACATTGTGATACCGTAACTCATCTACAGTATTTATTCATCTTCTTATTGTCATTAATATTATATCCCACTTCTAGAAACTTTGCATTAAGGTGAAGCTCAAAATAAACGTTCAAAGGATGAGATCTGATGCAGTGATTAAAATAAAAATAAAAACATAAAATGCAGTCCCCCCAAAAGAACATTATATGAGAATCTTGATTCTTTTACAACTTTCTGCTTGATTTACACACATGCATAATCTTATTTGAAAATAGAAATTTACTAATTTAAGAGGAACTGAATGAAACTAAAGGATCAGATTGATCCCAATCCAGATGGGCCAACACTAGAAGATTTGAAGGGGCAAGGCTCCTGCTATCATCTAGTCAACCCCTCTTTAGCTTAGAGAGAAACTTTCAACTTACCTTTAATTGGAAGAAAGCTACATTGGTAGCTGTGCTTGCAAGTGAAGGGAAGAGGAACAGGAACTTCCAAGCGTTTGACAGTTTGCAAACTAATGAGAAGATTGGGTATCAGGCACTTGTGAGATACTTGCATTACTATAATAGTCTGACTGAAGAGAACTCACATGCCTGCACTCCACTGCGTCCTAACGAGTTTAGTGGCATATTCCTCTAAGAGAACAGGTGTAACTTGCAGCCTTACTTGCACTAAGAAAAGAATTTTCATATGTTTCATGAATACATTTAATTTACCAGTAAAGCCCCCTCCCCTAGCCATTTTGGAGCTATTTTCAGACATTAGACATAATGCCCAATTATGCAAAATACTTGACCTGCCAACATTTCTGCATCAGAAATAGGGAAATGATTACCCATTTGTGACTCACCATGACCAACATCTCTTTGTTAGTCTCCCAGCATGCTGTGTCTGTCAAACCCCAAAGGGATCATCTTTGGGGTTTGATCCAAATAAAACATCCAAATTGTTTATGTGCATTTCATCATATTAAAGCAGGGAGGAAAAAAGGCACTCCTAAATTAAGTAAAGTCACCAGTTGGGATTCCCTGCAGAGCAGTTGCATCTCTCTCTCTCTCTCTCTCTCTCTCTCTCTCTCTCTCTCTCTCTCTCTCTCTCCCTCCTCCCTCCCTCCCTCCCTCCCTCCCTCCCTCCCTCTCTCTCTCTCTCTCTCTCTCTTTCTCTTTCTCTTCCCCCCTCCCTCAACGTGAACAAGATAACCTGTTAATATATGCTGTATGGCTAATTCCCTTCGCTGTATAAACATCACAAAGAATTTGGCCTTCTTTAAAAAAAAGGAATAAACTCAAACATCAGATCTTCCCAGTCTCTCCCCCTCTTTTCCTTTCTGACTAGTATAGAACCTATTACAGAAGTGCTTCATTTATAAAGAAAGTTTGGTTACGTTGCTATTTGTAGAGCACAATCCTATCATACCAGTTCAGAGGTGAGTCCAACTGATTTCAGCAAGGAAAGGAGGATTATAATTTTAGTAAGCATAAACAAATAAGCAAAACCAGATGGCCCCAAGGGCAACTGGAGTAGCTTCTTAAGAAACAAGAAACACATTATTTTACTTCTCTCCTGACCACTGATTATTATATAGAAACCAACTATTAATAGAAGAAAACCTGCATAAATTTGCCTTATGTCATATTCACCAAAGCTCTAAAATATGATGGTAGCACATTCTTTAATCACTTAGCTATGCTCAGCAAATCCTAAGGCCCTGGATACAAAATGAATAGCCAGCCCAAAGTCCACTTAGGTAGCAACGGCTAAGGTTGGTTTCTCAAACTTTGCAGCCCTCTAAAATAAATGGATGTGTGCAAGTCTTCTCCAATCTTAGGAAATAATACATAAATAAAACTGCAGTGGTAAGTGGTTGATTTTCATAGAGACCCATAAGTTTATCTCCAAACGTGCCCTGGGTTTTGCTCTCTACCGTGCCTGAGCAAGCCCCATCATTTTAAAAACTTTTGTGACTTTCCCATTGAAATACTTAGGGGGTCATGGCCTATAGTTTGAGAATCCCAATATGTTCCTAACATATTATTACAGGTAAATGTCTATGGGGATTCTCTATGATCCAGGTCATAGTTGTCCCAAAGGTGCTTTTTTCAAAAGGCAACTGGACTTTTTTGGGTTTTTCACTTCGCATCCAAGAAGCTTCTTTAGTTCTAGCTCTATTTGAACTGAAGAAGCTTCTTGGATGAGAAACAAAACACTTTCAAAGGAAAAAACAAACAAACAAGAAAGTCCAGTTGCCTTTTGGAAAAAGCACTTCTGGGATTATTATGGGTAATTTTTATCTTAATTGGCTGCAAAAAGATCGTGCTTCCAGCAACAGGAGAAAAAGATTGAAGACAATGAATAAGCTAATTCAAAAGACAGTTTGGAGATTTAGCAAGAAGAACAGACTGATCTGGGAGGGATGATGTGAAGCAATTCAAAATTAAGTTCATTGATTTGAAGTATTTGGCTCTCACGGTCTTTCTATGACATTTGCAGCAGTCTCCAGAACTTTGTTAACAGTTAGGTTAAGTATGGATTAGCTTGCAATTGCACCAAATATTGCCTATATTTCTGAAAAACAAGTGGCTCATCTAGATCAGTTATTTGTGGAGAAGAGCCTGATTTAAATATATTTTCAAGCAAAGGATGCACATCTCTCCATTTGTATAATAGGCTATGCTCTTTTTATTGTAGAGAGAGTCCTGAAAGAATGAGTGAATGTACATTGTCCTCTTGGCCATGCCACAGATGCTGCTGCACAGTGCCCCTGCAAGCTGAATCTAGTCACAGAAATGTCATAGTTAATCCCAGTTCCATCTGCAGTGGCTGCTTGCTAGTGCATCCTTCATATGGTATTAGCTCACTTCTAACCACAAGGTAATAAAATATTTATTTGTTTAAAATAAGAAGAGATGAGGACACTAATCTCTGTCTTTCTATATCACAGAATTCCACAAATATAGTCTTCTACGTTCTTGCTTGGTTATTTTTTCTCCCAAGCAATTGGGAACAACACTTAGAAGAATTTGCTGGACAGAAATATGAAGTGTGACCTTTCCCTCCTGGGATCAGGGATGTCCATTTTTGTTGTTAATTGCGAAGTCGTGTCCGACCCATTGCGACCCCATGGACAACGTTCCTCCAGGTCTTCCTGTCCTCTACCATCTTCTGGAGTCCATTTAAGTTCACGCCTACTGCTTCAGTGACTCCATCCAGCCTCCTCATTCTCTGTCATCCCCTTCTATTGCCCTCAATGTATGGTTAAAAGAAAATCAAGATGGCAGCCATGATACCCATATGACACATGTATAAAAATAGAACATTTATTGCCCTGGCATGGCGAGCAAGTTGATATTTTTTAACCATATTTGCAGACAAACTGGGATTCAAACTGGACTTTAAAAATGTGTAGCTTAAAAATATAGATAACATTTATTGTTATATGTGATTAGATTTTGCTGTGTGGTTCTCAGCTAACATTGTTTCATTTTATTCCAAGGTGTTTGTGTCACAGCTACTGTCCCTTTCTCCTTGATGCAAAACATAGGGCAGGACAGAATTTGGAGAGGTCACTTGTTGCTGGTAGTCCTGTGTTGGCAAAAAAAGGAACTGACTGTTATTATTACCAAGGAACAATCATAAAAGATTTAGAGGCAAGTTGCAAAATTATTTTCTACATGGTTATAAAGGTTATTAAATGTACACCAGGTAATATAAAGAAACTACGGAAATGGAACTGAACATATTTACTCACAATAACCATTTCCCTCAATTTAGTGCAATGAGGGATTAGTTCATAGGGTTACATTTAATGCACTTAATTCATACTGAATCAATTCAAGGACAGAGATAAGAGGGCAAAAGAATCACACCAAGACAAATGTAATCTAAAAATGTAAGTGGTTGAGGACAATAAGCTGCTCAGAATTGCCTAATAGTGAGATGGGTAGCATATACAATTAATAAGTAAATAAGTAAGTAAAATAAAATAAAATTCAGGTGATGTCATTGTGGAATGAATGCCTTTGCTATCCGTATAGTAAATAACACCATTGCTTTTCTTGTAAAAAATTGAAGAATGAACTAAAAAATAATGAATACTGTTAAAATCATCAGATGTTATGCTACAAAAATAAGAACAATAAACATCAATTGTATTCATTTCCCAGATATCACAAACTCTTTCTTCTACCCACCACCCTCCACCTTCCACCCCAATCTTTCTTATGTTATTTTAGGGCAGATGCTGTCAAGGTTTAGAGCCTGTTAATCAGTGACATCCAGCCCCTCTTCCTTATCTAACAATCTAGGAAATGCCTTCTAGCCAGTTACAATGTAACCCTAACAACATTAGAAGACTTCATGACAGTTGCCTTATAATTTCTCCAATATACACCTTTCTCCACATTTCTAGGTTTCATTTATTTGCTTGGTCCCACCTTGCACTATCTTACGAACATGCAATTTATGCCAAGAGTACGCAAGCCTAAACCCTCCAAATATTTTGTACATCAACATCCAACAGTCCCAACAGCAGTGGGGGCAATGGAAAGAGAAACTGGCAATTATCCAATTATTCCAAAATGCCAATTTCCTTATCCATGGCTTATATTAATAACTAACTTCGTAGTATAAATTATCCTACTCCAACTCTCCTCAACCTAGTATCCTTAGATACACTCAACTCCTTTATTCCCAGCCAAACAGAAATATGCCAACTGGGAATACTGTAGCAAGAACAGCAATCTGAAGGGCACATGATTGACAGAGATAGTTGTAATTAGAGGTATAAGATTACCCTATTAGACCTTTTCATCTAGCTAAAACTGGTTCTTTTATTTCTTCAGTAGCACCAGAATTCTAGAAGGGTTTGTGCTATTCTGAGGATCTCAGCACCTAGAGATATTTGATAAAGAGCATTATAGCTGGCATGTTGATATATAAACTTGACAGTGGAAAAGAAAGCCTGCCTTCAATTCATTAGTTGTTAGCACCTGAAACAAATATGGTATGTTCCTTCTGAAAAGCAAGGGGCAAGTTTGTTTGCTCACCACAATCACTCAACATCCGATAATTCTGAAGAACCAGCTATTCAGAAGGCAGTGACTTTGGAGTGAATCCAGCATTTGTGTGATCAACTCAGTGCTCGATTCTCATTCTACATACAAAGACAGAGTGTAATTAGGAAAATAAACATTCTCATTTTTAAACAGCCCTAGAGCAGACAGAAAAACCCAAGGGGATGATGGGGTGAGAGGAAGAGAATCTTTTGATTTTATACTAAGTTAGCTCAATTTGCTTTTACTGCAGAATCAGCTATTTAAATAGTATGGATATGCTGAGTTACTTTTCATAATATAATTCTAACTGGGAAGGTTTTGTTGAATAGCATTCAATTCAATAGCAAAGATTTTCAGGGATTGTGATCTCTGGTTATGTTGAACTTATCAATTCTTCCTTTAGATCAAACAGCAATGAACTTTGGGGCCAAATTCTGGAAATTTTTATCTCAGAGGGTACTCCAGATAGCCACCTGGAGTAGAACAGACTATAACAAACACATCTGGTGTTATTTCTTTTGGCTAAGATTGGTCCACAGAGGGAGGCTAATCATTTCAAAACAGTTTGTCTTATTTTTTTTAAAAGAATCAGTTTATAGTTAGAGGATGGTTGATTGGTAATAGATTCTCCATTTAACATTTTCAGCTTAAAATATATTATTGCTTGTGTTATGCACAAAATGCCAGCCCTTCCAGATAGGCCAGATAGGAAACATGACCAGATAAGCCAATTCAACTTTATTGTAAGGCAAATTAAAAGAATCATACAAGTCTGAAAATACAAATCTCCCACAGTCACTTTTAACACCCTGATCAATTAGGGATAGTCTTTCCTAAGTTTCTTTCTCTAACCATTAAACTACTGGGGGTTCTTCCCTCTCTTGTCTGATCACTCCTTAGTTAGCATCTCTGCCCCTTGCCCCTCAATGTCATTCCCACATATCGTTACACAAAATGACACTTAGACTCAAATACATTATTTAATACCAAAGTGACAGGAACAAACTCATTTGTTCATATTGGATCCCTCTAGCTATGTCATCTTTTAACTTTGTTCAAAATGTGTCTTTTATCTATTTTTGGTATTTATTTTTTGAAATCATTTGAAAAGACTACCTCTGTTTGCTTTTTCCTCCAAATAACTCAGGAAAGTAAAAGCAGTTGTAAAAAATGGAAGAAAACTGCATGCCAAAGAAACTATGAATGAGTTTCACATATGAAGTAAAATTTAATGGTTACTAAAAGGAAAACAGAGACCTATATTAGCTTTGCCTGATATATAGGTCAAACACTCAAAGAGAAATCCAACTAAGAATGAAGTTGGGGTGGTTCTAAGTAATGAATAGGAACAATTTCCAATTATTTGTGCTATTTTAAAAAAAATATTTTTTTTCTTTCTGATAGGAAGCTGAGCAAAGATCATTTCTGGTACAGTTTGCAGTGGGGCAAGACACACCTTCTTTGCAAAAAGCAGCCAGCAGTGATATCCTTGAATGTGTGAATGGAATGAGACATTCTATTCTGCCTGGTGATAAAGTGATGGCCCCCTGGGAACCAGAGCAGAAGAGGTATGGGCCAGGAACTGTCCTCCAGGGCATGGAGACCAGAGATCCTCTGCGAGGTAAAATTGAAATTATCTTGCCATATACTTGGGGAGTAGCTTTCTGAGTGGCATGGTGGCCTAGAGGTGGAGCTCTTGCCTCACAATCAGAAGGCTGTGAGTTCAATCCTAGGTAGTTCCCTTTCTGGGTGCAAAGAGACAATATTTGCTCTGAGCTCCATGTAGCCATCAGGAAGGGCATCCAGCCAGTAAATGCCAGTAAATGCTCAGCTCCATTCAGTCGCCCTAACTTCATCGTGATAAAAGGGATTATAGGGTCATTAAAAGAAATATATATATACACATACATACTTGGGAAGTAGCTTTATGCTATGTTTGCCAAGGGAAATAAACATAGGCTGGTGCTTCTCTTTTAAAAAGAAGGAAATCTTTATTAGAATTTGCATTGAGATAGAAAGTTAAAAACCTGATCTAGCTTCCTTTGGATCCAGCCAAAGAATGAAAGATCATATGCTGTAGTTCACTAGGCCACATGGGACATGGAACAATACCTACCACAGAAGGAAGAAAAGATTTGGGGGGGGGGGAGAACAGGAACTGGAACTGAGCCAGCCATGAGTGTCTAACTGAACAAGACATGTCAAAGAAAAGAATCTACACTCACTTTCACTACAACTATTGCATCTACTGAAACTAAGACAGTGCAATGAGATTGATCTTCCAACCCCCTTCTCACAGGTGTGTGTATCTGTTCACGACTACTATCACATCATAAAAGTTTTTTCTCTTATGGCTAGTAGCTATGTTTGTGCTTTGGGAGCTGGCATTTTCTCATGTCTTACTGTGAGGAGGGTTTGGGGGTCCTCCCTCCTTGGCTTGAAGGGAAAGTCTTTTGAGTGGCATCTCTTTGGACCTTCTGAAAATCTTACCCCTGACTCAACATCTATATTCCTTCTGATGCAGGTACCCTTTTCCTGTCACGGATCACAGTTTCCTCTTGTTGAGGCTGCTGCACGGTCTCTTCTCCTGCTGGGAAATCTAAATTTATTTCCGACATCCTAATAACACTTGGTTTTTATCTCTCATTAAGCTACATCACACTAGGTAATTTACCTGTTTCTGTAGCAGAATCAATTCTTCTATGCATATTTACAAGAAATAGCTCACAAAGTCCTGTGGAGGTTGCCTAGTGGGTGGGTTTTTTTCATGGATAATAAATGAGAGGGTTTAATTGCATTTGCTTTATTGAAGTCAATACATTTGAATTCAGAGTAGCAAGTGTGAACATTCACACTTTTTGCTAAATTGTCCATCAGCTTTGAAATTTAGTTAGCATTTATGGTCAAATCTGTACTATCACAGCCCTTTATAGTTTTACTGAAAATATTCCTTTGCAGTATATTTTCTGTCATTCTATGGTGCTACATTGATGTTCCCTTCTGAACATAAAGAATGTTACATCTTACATTGACTCTGTTTTCATATTCATAATATTATTTTCAGACTGGGAACAGAGTAAACTTTTGGCATGCAAATCATAACAGTCCCTGTTGGGTAGCTTATACTGTACAAGTTAAATGAATTGTTCCTTCACAATCCCGAATGTGCTCCATCTTTGGCAAGTTGCAACTTTACAATATTTATCTATGAAAAACAACGAAGGCTTGTAAAAAACAAGAAGAGTCCCACTGTCCCACTATGTACATCTTGTTTTAATTTTGAATTGAGCCTGCAAATTATTTACCTTGCAATACTTTGTTTAATGTTGGCTTGCAGAATTTATTCTTTATAAATCCCTTCCTTGTGACTTCCTCTAATCTTGTGGCAGCATACTTCCTCATGACTCAGTGCTGTAATATTTGTTTTTAATAATGTTTTGCTGCTGAGAATTTCTTATCTTTCTCTGGGCACTCATTCTGAGATATAAATTGCTCCTGCAAGTGCCTCCCTCTTTTTCCTAGGAGCCTGGAGGTCCGATTTGGAAACCTTTCCTCAATTTGCTTTCTGAGATTTTGGACAAGATCAGCCTTGGCTTTTCTGTAATCTGAAGAAAAAAAAATACTTCATATTTCTCAGGCAGATAATAGACCAGAAGGCCAATCTTAGCCACTATAGGCAATTATACCTCTCCTTATTTCAGCTGTTCTGGTTATAAGAAAAAACTATATACGCTGATAAATCACCTACACATCTTTAAATCTTTTATTAGAAATTTGTAATACAAGAGAAATTTGAGAGTTCAGGGCTTTTTGTTGAAATAGATTCCTCAGTTTTTCCTATATTTCCATGCAATGTTTTTATCATCCACAGAAATAAGCAGATTAATGCAGCTAGGGATCCATGTCCATAGCATTCTTGTTTGCAATATCCCATATTTCCTGCTCTTTTCCAACTTCATCTGGTGTTGGATCTAAGGCCCTGGACCAGCTGTGGTGCAATCATCAGTGTTTCGTTACTGTCTACTGTGTATCACAGCTAGCTGTCTTGTTTTAAGTAATCTGCTTCTCTTGAAGACTTGTCAGCAACACACATACCCTTATACACACCAATCCTTTCCCTTTCCCTATTCTCAACTCTTACACTTTTACATTTTCTTTTGAGTTGGGTGCACAGGAGAACAACTTTGTATTGTAGACTACACAGTATGTGGGAGCAGCTTTCTGCAACCAAAGGCATGGGCAGAAGAAGTAAAAATAAGAGAACTATGCATATTGTTTAGCATTTTAAATAGTTCTGAATCTCTGCTCTAGAAGGAAGAAGATAGCTTTTTGGTTCTATCTAGGCATTATTTGCTAAAAATGGGAAAACATGAAAAATGTTATATCTGAACAAAAAACCAAAAATTAAAAAAATGAACTGATCCAAATATGTACAACAATATAACACCCCTTGGAAGTTTTTTTTCTTGGTATGTTTTGTTAAGACAGCATCTGGTGGAAAGTTGTGTTGTAGTACATGCTCTTCACAAAATATCACCTAAAGAGAATATGGAATATGAGTGGGCACAAAGTGTAATTAAAGATGGTGACTCAGCCAAAAAGCTCTGGTACTGAGCATATGCGTTCTCATTTCTCTCCCCCCACACTACATATTGCATTTTAACCAAGGTATGAGGCTCACTGTGTCTGCTGAAATTGAAATAGCTGCCAGTTTTGGATTGCAGTATTTGCAGAAATCAGATTTTGTAACTGACAGATTAATGTTCTTAATAGGGCCTTTTGCCCTAGCATATTGTGCAAGTACAATTTAAGTGAATTGGGTTCAGATCTTTCTTTTGATTTTCCAGGTTTTTTTTCTATTTGAAAAAAATGTGTATGTTCTATGTTTTTTTGGCATATTTTAACATATTTTGAGATGGGGATTTAGATTTAATTTTATTTTTATGAAATAATGGACAGTGCTGGAGTTTGGGGTATTTTTCATCATTCTGCAGTCCACAAGGCAGCCTATCCCTGATGTGAAAAACCCATGAAAGACTTTGTTGATTCCTTACCATGTGATATGAAGCCAATGAAGCTGCAGATGGAGAAGTTCTTGTTCTGTGAAAATAGGATACACATCCTTTAACTACCTTGTGACGTACCTTGTGACTGCCAACACATGAGCATTGTATTAAATGAGACGGTCCCCCCCCCCCTTAAAAAAAAACCTGCTCAAATCCTGTCTCACAAATGAGATGGAATAGTCAAGAATGAAAAAAATCTTGGTAAGGCAATAAGGTCAATTGTTAAGAATACAGGCCTGGCATTTTTAAACAAACATTCTATATTCTTTTCAACAGAAAAAGAAGATGAAGAAATTACAGTCAGCTTTTGGAATGGCAAGAAAGCCAAAGTTCCATTAGGTCTCGCTTTGTGGATTTCTCCAGCGCAGTGGAAGATAATTGTAGAGAGGATCCATTTGCCCTATACAAGCAGGAAGCAGTTGGAGGGGCAGGTTCACAGGCCTGGCTATTACAACTGGTCACATGAAACTATTCCAACTTGTGCTTTGGGTGATTTCCAGAGATGTTGGTGCAGATGTTGCTGTTTTATCCATCCTTGCTTTAGTGGTTTCCATCACACATGCTCATTGCTTGGACACAGGCAATGTGTCTCCTGCTGTAGCCGCTGCTGCTTTAAATACAGTGGCTGTTGGACACAGCCCTCTTTAGCAGAATTAACCTCTGGAGATTTAAGAAAAAAATTCACTAGTAAGCCTACAACACCATTCTTAGCAATAGAAGCCTCTCCCAAAGTAGAACATGCTGCTGTGCTATCCAACTCTTCCTCATCCTCCTCAGAGTCTCATTGTGAAAGGGAAAAAAATAGCACCAAGAGTACAATGATAGATCAAGCAGTGAACACAGATTCTAGTCTTTTTAAAAACTCCACCTTACAGGAAACCAGAAGACCAGAGTGGAAGTACTGGAAGAGAAGTCAACCCACCTTTGTTTATAAAAGTCAAGGTACACAAGATCTCCCTTGATTGATCTCCAATAGATATCTAGAACCTGTTGGTTTCACAAACAGGGTGACAATCAGGCCACAATGGGTTATTCAAATATTTCTGGCTTAGTGTGTTGCTTAAATCAAACTATTGTGACTTAGCCATGATTTATTAGCATTATGTGTAAAACCCAGTCCTTATCTCAAGTGAGTGTATATTAACTAATGATGGCTCACTCTGCAATTTAGTATGTCAAATTTGTTCTTTGTCTTTATACATATACCATATGGGGCAAAAAAAAAAAAGACATTGCTCACACCTACAGATGTTGCTTGCTGCAACTAACTGTAGATCATGCTAGCTGGGGATACTTGGAAGTGCCATAAAGTAACATCTCAAAGATTGAAGATTCTCCAGACTTGGCCTGCAAAGCAGAGCCATTTATGAATATTATGGTATTAATGGAAGCAAAGTATTCCATTGTAGACACTTTCATATCTAATTTCGTATTTGAGGAAAGGGCAATAACCACTTATAGTAGCTTGGCTAGTTTTAAGGAATAACTTATTTGAATGATAAAGAGTAATCAACCATGCATAACATCTAATTTATGAGTCTATTTCAACAGGAAAAAGACAAAGATTTTTTTATGATGACGGAGGGCTACGTGGCAGCTGTAAAGTGGTGACATTTTGTGTAGAAGCTGGCAGAATTCATGCCATCCTAAGAAGTGTGCTGATTGCACTTTCAACTTCTACTCAATAAAGCAGAATAGGAATTTCATCTGAGCCATAAGTGGAGAGAAGAGAGAATTGGGAGGGGGAACTTTACCTCTGGTGCTAGCTACTACAAGAAGATCCATGGGGCTTCTGCTGCCAGTTCTCCAATCCCATGGAGTCCTTCTCCCTCACCCCCCACTGCAGATTTCTTCTGCCAATAATGGTTAATAAGAGGAGGACAGGCAGCAAAGTGAGTCTTCTTTGCACTAGTTCTCCTGGCATTAAAAAGAGCCACATGTCCCATTTCTCTTTTCACTGGAAGGGAGAGGGTGAAAACAGTTCTTCAGGCAGCATCCCAGTAATAAACCTGTATAAAGCTTTACTGTGAGGCGACTGGCTATAGAAACCCATGGTAAAGCCATTCCCCAGTGAATTTGGTTCCCATAGTTCTCCCACAGCTTAGGCACTGGAGTGGGGGAAGAAAGGGAAAGCAGACACCTGTTTTGTGGGGAGGAAAGCTTAAAGTTACTGCAGGGCCCCTGGCTAAAAAGCCATTCTCGTCCCTCTTCCTTTGCTCTCTGAGAGAAACCAGAATTAAGATGACCTTCTTTTTCCGCCACTCTTGATTTGAAAAGAGAAGAAGGAAAGCCTGAAATCTTCTACTGATAAAACTGGATGGCCCTGAAAAAACAAGAGGCAGGGCCTGGGGCAGAGGTAGGCAACCTTGGCTCTTTTATGATTCGTAGACTTCAATTCCCAGAATTCCTGAGCCAGCCATGCTGGCTCAGGAATTCTGGGAGTTGAAGTCCATGAGTCATAAAAGACCCAAGGTTGCCTACCCCTGGCCTGGGGCAAGGGGTGCAGCCTCAAGTGGCCAATACCAGTAATGTCGCCACCACGTCAATTTACCTTGGTAGGATGCACTTGAGACAGACCAGATAGCATGGCTTGCATTGGGGAAAGCTACAAAATGGCCTCTTAAAAGTCAAGTGCATACTGCCTTCTGGGTGGATCAGAGGTGAGTGGAACACAATGTCATCCATACATATCCTTTAAATCTCTATGCTAAGGGTTTGCCAACTTTCTGTCACAATTGGAAGATAGCATTCCAGCCATGGCATATTTGATTTATCTTTGCAAAAGCTGCTTCTGCTCCCTTGGCTAAGTTTGGAAGGAGCTCCATAGAACCCACTTCAAATCAAAGTTGATTTTCATTGCAGTAGGAAAAGGATCTCAAAACCAAACCATAGGTAAGGTTTGCAACAGTGCAAACTGGCCAATGTGATAATAGAGAGGTCAGTTTTCCCCTTACCTGTAATATATACAAAATACACGAAGTGAACAAATGCCAACAAATTTCCTACGGACATCCAGAGGCATATTAAAGCAGGTCAGTACTAGGTTGTTATATATTATCATGCTGTCAGTCAGTCCATGCTCCTATATATTCTGGGATGCATTCAGTATGTTAACTTTTTTGTGTTGTACGCGATAAACAGTTCTTTGGTATAGGCAGTTCACTCTTGCAGTTCTGCCAAAGTTGCTTCTAAGTGCGTGATATTAAACCAACTTTTCATTTTCCATGATTTCATTGAAAATAGACATTGAAGTCAACTAACAAGCAAAAGCCAAGTATTTCTAAGAGAATGCTGTCAAGAAAACAATGTTACTGACAGTCTAATTTTATTTCATGTTAATAACCAATCCAGCTAAAGCAGATTCATGGGGGTGGATAACTACCCTTTCTAGTCATTATAATACTCATAACAGAACTAGTAATTTGACTGGGTTCACGCATTATGCTAAGTGACAAATCACATTATGATTTGCAGGGCTCATCTGTCGAGTCCTCTTCATGGATCTTGGGTGCTCTGCTGTGGATTTCTGACGTTTTGTAGACTCAAGTTTCTATTTCAACCCTTCCGTCTATAATTGTTATAATATCAATCTATAGGAGCCAACATTGTCAGTAGCAGCTGCAGAAAAGAAAGAGCTGACAACAAAGCCATTTCATCCACAGATGGATTTCCACCAATTCTGTACAACCACAGTGCTATATTTGAAACCATTGAAGAGTCTCATCAAAGGCATCTTTCGATGAAGAAAATCTTGAGCCATGGAATTACTAGCTCATCATGGGGAGGTTAATTATGTATAGAATTGCTATCCTCCCTCCTTTCTTTCAGGGGTTCAAGATGTCACTAAACAATAGCACTATTTACAAGATTCTCTTAGCTATTTCGTAAGTTCTCGTTGCCATATTACTAAACTCCTGAACAGCACCAGAGTTAAGTAATTTTGAAGAAACTGTTTTTTTAAGTTTGAGACTAGTCATGCCACAAAAAAAGAATGAAAGGGAATCAGATCGATATGCTCCTAGCCAAAAGGCTTTGTACTAAACATTAGATGCTGATGAGTATAATGGATTTAGTCATTCCCCTTTAGCCAGAATGTACTCTTTGTTCCGACTACAAAGAAGCAGAATAAAATTACTTTTCCAGAATTTTAGGCGAACAAAACCCAGTGCAGAATCAAGTGTTCATAAGAATGTAATATCTTTCTCACAATTTATTAGGTAAAAAGAATCACATAGTGCAAAAGTAAAAAAATACATTCATGATTCAAACTGCAGTAAATGTTAATCAAGTTCAAGCTATAACAGTTAAAAAGGAAGGTAGAGCAGAATACTCAACAAAAGGATAAATATCTTAGGTATGAAAAGATGACACTTCAGACACTGAAATTGATTTTAATTGTCATCGTTAGGAGAAGATAAATGAAAAACCAGATTTACACTTTCCCCTGGCTGAACATTTACTAGGTGTGCTTCTTTGATTGTGTCATCGTATGAAGATGTGTTGATTATGTATGAGCCAGGTGACACTTCGATGAGGATTTCCTGCAATGAACAAAAAAACCCCTTCGATTTTAAAATACAAGAACAAACTTCTGCATCAGGAGGATATTATTCCTAACAAAGAAATGAATTAAGTTTAGTAGCATTGCGTGAAAAAGAATTTAGTATATTGATCAATCTATCTAAGCTGAAATATATTTTGTAACAGTTCATCAGAGTTTAAGGCAGTAATTTTCCTGGCATTGTTGAGTTTTCAGTCCCAAATCTAGTATGTTATATCCTAATCCATTGGGTCACTGGGGTACCCATAAAGATTACATGTTTTTTTCAATAAATCTTTCAATCTGAATGCTTTATAGCATATGTAGACCTTTGTTCAAGCAACACAAGATTTGTTCCGTCTCTGCTCTTGATTTTGAAAGTTTGTCTCAATGAATTTATATGTGTGCGTGTCTTTGTGTGTGTGCAAATGAAAACTAATGTATTTGCAACTTTGTCAAAAAATATAAACTGGTAATGAACTATACAGAACCTGCAAAATGCAACTAGACTTAACAATCTAGTTCTCATGATTCTAGTCACTGGGATGAGTGGGTGCTTCATCAGTGGAGGTTTTCAAAAAAAAAGACTGGACAATCATTTGTCTGGGGTGGTATAAGGACTCCTACCTTGGGCAGAGGGTTGACCTCCAGAGTCCCTTCTATAGCCCTATGATTCTATGACTCTAGTCCACATGCCTATGTGCAAGGAACATTAGGAAATATGATTCCGCAATATCCAGATGGCCACAGATTCCCCACCTCTGTCACACAATCTAATGCAACTCGATACTTGCTTCTGATACAGATGGCTGAGCTGGAATTAAAGCAGTTGGTTCTGTTAAAGCAGTTGGTTCAGTTTTGTGACATTCAGGCTTTTCCACAACTGGAACATTTTGTTTTTCCACTACTGGAGCATTTTGCTTTTCCATTATTGGAGCATTTTTCTTTTCCTAGAGAGAACACATTATAGCTTTCAAGTCTGGAAGTGACTAAGTTCAGGCTATATAATCAGCCATCATCTTGCCCAAATCACAAACAACACTTTGCAGGAGTAAATGCTTGAAGGTATCAAGGACACCCATCAAAAACTTTACAAAAACAATGCGCACAGCAATATTTCCCCAACCTCCTTCATAATTTCTAGAAAGAAAAATGTGGCATCATATGAGGAAAGGCCCAATGGCTCATTCACCCAATTCTAGTTTTTAAAATCCTGGCTAAAGAGAATGCATGGAAGGTTTCATTGCCCTTGAAAACAAAATTGTGCCTTTAAAGAAAGCAACATTCAGGACACTTACCTCATTTTCAAATGCTCTTAGCAAGTTTTTAGATGCTTCCCTGCTGTGATAGCGAAAAATATGTTCAATTTCATTCTCCTCAAACTGAAATGGTGGTACTGAACAGTAGTAATTCTGGAGGAAAGTTGTTGATGAAAAAGGGATTACTAAACCCACTTTATGTACATGAAACAATTTAAAGTACGTGTGGCATTCAAAGCAACCCTCCACATTCACCCCTCCATTTAAATCCATGTTGTTGTTTTAATGCTCAAAGCCAGACTTGTCCTATTGGGACATGATGAGCAAAAGTCTCCTTGCAAAATGCTCTCCTTCCACATTCTGCTTTCAGAAGAGCAGATGAAAAAGAAGCTTGTTTGTTTATTTACCAAACTTATATGCCACCCATCTTGCCAAAGTGACTCTAAGCCGAAAGCTACATTCATTCCTGTAACATTCCTGCAAGCATTCTACTCTTTGGAACTGGATTATTCTTCTTGAAATGGGAACAATGGTCTACTGTCTCTGGACTGAATATATACTAGTACTGAATACACATATATGCACTTCAAAAGGCTGGAATGACGCAACTGGTAGGAAATGCAACTAAAACCAGCTACTGTACATTGAGGGCCTTAAAAACACAGAGACTGAAACTGTACGGGTAACATTTGCTAAACTTTTCTGAAGGCGAAGTGAACAGGATACCAAAATTAAACAGGAGTTCTTGGCTCTTGTGTTTAACATGAAATAATATATGATGTAAAATAAAATATATTTATATCCTGCACTTTCTTCCAAGCAATGGATTTGCTAATACAGCTACTAGAAGCGTACACAAATGAAACAGAAGTTTGGCATCAAGAAAAAAGGGATTGTGTTATTTCACAAGTGATAGTTTTAACATGATATTCTGATTTTCCCAGAAATTAAGTAATTGTAAATGTTACTGGGTTGCTCATATCAGATTCTCAAAGGGATCAGTCAAATCATCAGTCTTTTCAGCATACAGTAAGTCAGAGATCTGCTCTGAAGAGCTGAAGAATGTTTGGGACAAGATGGAAAATGCTGCAGAAGCTAGAGGTGAAATAATTAAAAACAACATTTGCCTTTCCTATTTCAAGGGCCTCTCCTGGGTCTCAGCCTTTTCTGTGAATGGCAGGAGACTAACCTTTCACCGAGAAAAGGCCAAGCCTAAATGCAGCCCACAGAAAGATCATAGAACTCCTTTATGTCAGAGTTGCATTTTGCCTCTTTATAGAACTGGTTACCTCACATACTGCGGAGATACAAGCCAGGTGTTCAGCAACTGCAGCAAAAGCAGCTTCAAGAGAAACATCAGCCTCTCCCTGTTGTCAAAAACAAAATGTTACTATAAAATGTACATGCAGAGCACATGATGAAAAGAAAAAGTAACATATGATGATATAGAAACAGGCTTCCAAAATACGAGAACAATTACATATGGCTTTATACTCTGGCACATCATTAATATACAGTCTCCTTTGAAATGGTACTCCATGTTGCAGCTTGTTGCTTTATCAGGTTTATATACAGATAATTGATATGCTAAGCATATGTCTGTTTTATTCAAGTTTTCTGCCTCATCTAAACCCCGCCCTTAGCTATATAGCCAGAATGATGTGATTATTTATTGAGAAGAGGGACTACATGGAAAGTAGCAGATAGCAGAAAATTCAGAGGGTCCATGAGAACGTCTCCTGTATGGACGAATCTCTGAGATATTTGGGATAGGAACAACACTTAGAAAGAAAATAGCCCAAATCCTTTTGCAATGAATCTAAGGGTAGTCTTGAATGGTAGACCTACTGATAACCTTTAATTTAATGAGTACATCTGGGAGTCAGGAACAGTCTGTAGTTTGATGCATCAGGCATCTATCAGTTCCAAATATGGCCTAACTCAATTCTTACGGTGTCCCCCAAACTTAGTTAAAAAGGAAAAGGTATCCTATGCACCCACAGTACATCCCTAGCTCTTGAGGCAAATGTAAACATTCAAACAAAATATTTTAAGTCAGAAATAGTATTCATTTCTATCATTGAAATGTTTTAGCTGCTTTTTGTGATACTTTAAAAAAAAACAAATTACTAACATTGCTCACTATGAGACATACCATTTTCTTTCTTTATATAAGAAAAGATCCAATTTGGTCTAGTGCAGGGGTAGGCAACCTTGGCTCTTTTATGACTCGTGGACTTCAACTCCCAGAATTCCTGAGCCAGCCAGGAATTCTGGGAGTTGAAGTCCACAAGTCATAAAAGAGCCAAGGTTGCCTACCCCTGAGCTAGTGGTTAAGGCACCAGACTAGAAACCAGGAGACTGTGAGTTCTAGTCCTGCTTTAGGCATTCAAACCAGCTGGGTGATTTTGAGTTAGTCACTTTCTCCAAGCCCAACCCACCTCACAGGACTGCTGCTGTGGGGAAAACAGGAGGAGGATGGAGTATTAGATACATTTGCTGCTTTGAGTTGTTTATAAAAATAATAAAGGTGGGATGTCAAACAAGCAAACATAAACCTTGCCTGCAGGGCAAAGAACTGGAATCCTGGTACAGGCTCTAAGGCAGTGTTTCTCAACCTTGACAATTTTAAGGCATGTGGACTTCAACTCCCAGAATTCCACAGCCAGTACACAGCCATTGCTGGCTGTGGAATTCTGGGAGTTGAAGTCCACATGCCTTAAAATTGTCAAGGTTGAGAAACCCTGCTCTAAGGCTTATTGGTTAAAACTAACCAACTCTTACCTGAAAGGTCCTGCTTTGGTGATGAGAAGGCAGGTACCAGTACAATTTCCGTTTTTTTGCTCGCTCCAGAACTTGCCGAGAAAGCGCTGCTGTACGCTGCATGCGATGGTTCACATTTAGTTCCTGGAATGCCATTCCTTGAATTCAAGCCTTAAAAAGCCAGCAAAGTTGCTCAGTCAGTCAAGAACAGCAGTGCTGGAGAAAAGACTAGGAGACAAGGGAGAACTGCATTGCCTAGCTAGCCAACTCTTTGACTCCTTCTCTCCCTCCACCAGTTTTCCAGTATAAATGTTATTTTACCTCACTTGCAAGGATATATCTCCCACTCCTTCATTTCCCATCTTCAAACTCTCTGCTCAAGCCAGCCTTCTCTCAATACAAGTACTTTCCTTTACAAAAGATCACAAAGTTATCAAGGCAAGGAGAAAAGCTCACTTTTCTTATACTTCAGACACACAAACTTCATTATGATTCTAAAAATGTTGGTGCAAAAATGACCTGGTTTGGCACTTGCCGAGGCTTGCTGGTTTATACAACTTCTCTTCACCATTCCTGTTTGCTCACCATTTCCCCCCCCCCCCTGCATATGAAGGGAGAACCACACCAGCAAGAAAGAAAAGTTGAATCTGCCACTTGGCCTCCACCCACTGCTAAGCAAATCAGCCAAAGTGACAAGGAGAAGGAGAGCTATTAATCATAGCCAGTTTAAGGCTACTGTGTACTTTTGCTACTTGATATAAACCAGCTGTGATTCAAAGACACAGCCCCATAGGAGTCCATTTTCAATTAACCACAGTTTAATATTATTTCTGATTTCTAAACTGAGCCCTAATTAATTAGGTGTAATTAATACACCATCTAGACAGGATTAGAATACCAAGCTGCTGTTTTTATTGTCTTTGTCCTTTTTTGATGATGAAAATATAATACAGTTTGCATTTTATCACTGCATCATGTATGATACAATACTGCCAGCCAACAGTAGTTGGTAAACTGTGATTTATACTTTAGTATTGCATAAGTCAACCATGATTTATTCAGTAAGCCATAGCTGAAATAATCTATGGCTTAGTTGGTACATCTGAATCAGGCCTACCTAAAAAGGGATAGAATTAACTATTAATCAAACTTGAAATACACTCTAGTATAAACATTTGCTTTAGGTTTTCACCCTAATTACATTTTGCTTGGAAGCATTCCCATTAAAATCAGAAGAATACTTTTCTCAGATATGTAACATGTTACATTTTTTTTCCACATTATATCTTCTGGAGGAGATTCCTTTGCTACCAGTTTTGACCTTTGGAATACTAGTTTGTGTAACCAACGCATTACACTGTTAGAATTGAAACAGTTACAGAGCATCTCTGTTATGAGTACAGCTAAATTTTATCAAAAGAATACACTGAAACTGTCCCTTATTTCAGACATCCAAGGCTTGCACCTGTTATTTTGAAAAGTAATGTAGGACAGGGTAGGAGCTTATATGTTTAGACAGTTACATGCAGACATTATAATGCAACTGTTGGAACTTTACAAGAATGCCGATTAACCAGAAAAAGAATGCAGCTAGTTCTTACCATTATAAAAAATTGACAACATGTAAACCTATCCTAAGAGTCAACCTCTCCAGGAAACCCAGCAAACAAAATGTTTGATTGGCAAACTTCTCCTAAAGGAAGAACTGCTTTCTTCATTGTAGAGGGTCCAGATAAGCAATTTCCGACCCCCAAAAGTAATTACTGTTGGCTAATTGTAATCTACCCAAAGGACACTAAATGGGCGAAGGAGGATTAGACCTTATTAAACGACCTTCGCTCAAAAGGCACACATATGGCATCTGCTGGCAGCCCGAGGAACTTACCGCCTATAAGGTCTCCTGAGTCAGCACCGCTAGGCAGAAGCTGTGAAGTACAGCAAAAGCAAAGGAACGGAAACGAGGGATAGAACGCTTTATCTCCTCCACAAAGCCACTTTTCACAGGAAATGCTTGCTTGGCCATGCAAATGACAGCCATTGAATAAGAACCACATGACGTCACCAGGGTCGGCTAGAAGAAACGGCTAATTTTCTCAAAAATTCCAAGGAAAGCCATTGCTTCTTGTAGCCTGGCCCGGGGAGGATGGGAGGGAGGGGCAGTCACTTCGCGGAACAGCCATTCATTGCATCACAGTCCGCCTTCTTCCTTTCGGAAGCCGGGCTGCTCTACACTGTGTCGGGGAGGAATTCTCCTTTCTTTGAATTTAGGGGATTGGTCCGCATGATTGACATGGCAAGAGAAAGCGCGATCGAAGCCCCTCTGACATAAACAGTGCTATTGTTTATGTCAGAGGGGCTTCGGGCTGAAATGTAGAGACGGGACTTACCTGTTGTATATGGAAGATACTTAGGAAGCCACGTGTTTAGGATTGATTTCTTGAATTGGTTTGGCCAGGCCGAGCGGAGTAATGGCCCAGCCGGATGCACTTTGCAATTCTCTGGTTAAACTAATACGGTATCCTCGCATTTACGGTGCATATTCTGCTATTCTTGTGCATATTTAGGCGGAAGTCATGCGGCCTTGCTCGTTCACTTCGTTGTGAGCACGTGTTCCTGCGGCTTCGTTGCCATCCTCCAAAAGGCAGGGAGGGAGCGGAGAAACGTCCCTCCAGGAACAAACAGAAAAGCCTTATGGTTTCATTCGAGGAAGCCCAAAGAAAAGTAGGACAATAATTAGAAGCCTTTCCTATTGGTTCTTGAGATAAGTTAGTGTCAAAAAATAGCTACTGCACATCTGGATGTGCTTTCCAAAGAGCAAATGCCCCGTTTTAAGATTGCATTGTGAGTCTCAACACTAAGCACATCTAAGCAAGTATATTGTAAAATGGGTGCTTAACAGAATTGCTGTCTGCCCCCTTTAATTATTAAATGGTTTAATAAGTGAGGGAGCCGGGCTGCAAAATCCGCTCGACCAGTAGGTGGCAGAAAGATTAAAAAAAATCTTTTTCTGCCATCTGGTCGTCTGGAGTTTTTTTTTTTTTTTTTTTTTTTGAACGAGAGTACCGTATTGTAAAGTGGCTCTAAAAACGTCATCTGCAAATGGTGACATTTAGCACAGTATAGTAATTTGCTGGTAGATTTAGCAATGTGGAGCTGTTATTGTAATTTCTGTTAAATCACCCTTTCTACTAACACAAACATGTTAAGTCATCATCTACAAACCACAATTGTTCGGTCCACACAATTTGTCCTGCCAGAAACGAAATGCATTTGAACTTAGCCTGATGAATTTATATTATCTTATATTATTTGCATTAACCTCTCCAGTTTTTTTTTTTAAATTGGCTTTGGGATGAGAGCTAATTTAAAATCCATTTCCCCACGGACTCTGGCTCAGTTCACATATCATCATTCTTGGCTTTTAGCCTAGTGTGTCGTAACCAGTTGTTATTTATTTAGTAAACTAAGAGGCATGAGAAAGCCAATGTGGTGTAAGAGTTAAGATGTTAGACTGGCACTGGGGACTTTTGATTCACCCATAGTTACATTTAAGTTCATTGGGTGACTTTGAGCAAGTCATTCTCTTTGTCTCTGCTCAGTCTACCTCACAGGGTGGTGTTGGAAGAAAAATGGAACAGGGAGTGTTAATGTATTTCCCTGGAACAAAAAGGTTGGATACAAATCTAACAAGCCAAAGGTTAGGTCAGGCATGTTCAACCTTGGCAACTTTAAGACCATGCTGGCTGAGTAATTCTGGGAGTTGAAGTTCACAGGTCTAAACATTGCCAAAGTTGGATACTCTTGACCAGGGGTAGGCAACCTTGGCTCTTTTATGACTCGTGGACTTCAACTCCCAGAATTCCTGAGCCTACCCCTGACTTAAGATGATGTTTCAAGCAAATATTTTATTCTCCCTTTTACTATCTGTTCAGCTGTTGTGTTGAGGTTTTCTTGGCCAAAAGCCAAAGCAATTATCTGTTTGCATCTGGGTAGAAAGGAAAGAAATAGATGAAAATAATTAAGCAACACTTTTGGCAAAAAGAAAATTGGCGAGAATCACTTTTGAATATGACATTGTCATCCCTATTCTGAAAAGGTGGTGGTAGCCCTCCGCTTATACTCTTTTCCTTACTGATTCTGGATCTTTTAAAAAATTTTTTATTTATTTACATCCCACCTTTATTATTTTTATAAATAACTCAAGACGGTGAACATATTTCCTTTCTGTGGATGAGTCAGGTGTCAAGTGTAAACTTCCCTTTGGGTTTTAGGACCTAAGAATTGAACTATACTTGAAGTTGAAAGGCTATGCTAACATAAAGCATTTAAGGGGATGGAAGATCCATTTGTTAACTGTTCCAATGTTTATACCATAAGGATTTTAAAGATTTGTTTAGATACAACCAGGGTCAAACCCAATTAATCTCTTTGCTTAATCCCAAATTGACACACACACACCTCACCTGAGACGAAGTCCCCTTATAGGCCCAACTAAACCAAAGAAGAAAAGCCTCCTCACCAACTCACAGCATAGCTCAAGGGCAGCCCTAACAAAGGAGTTGCAACTTAGAGAAACCCCAACATTCCATCTTCTTACCAGTTGATGACCTCAACATTCCATCTCCTTAACAACTATATTCCTCAGTTTTGCTGTTCTCCTGAAAGGCCCATTATGCCCAACTATAGAACTTACTTCAGGTACACTGTCAATGACCTGCTCGCTTCCCCAAACTGGCCAGCAAATCATATCCCTAGGACAGTGGTGGCGAACCTATGGCACGGGTGCCAGAGGTGGCACTCAGAGCCCTCTCTGTGGGCATGCGCGCCGTCACCCCAGTCCTAGGCCTTCAGCTGGGTTTTATAAAACCTTTTCACTTTAGGTCTCTGCCGCCATGTGCAAAAAAAAAAAAAAAGGTTCAATCAGTAAATTTCAATTTCTTGTGGGGAAAAAAAAAGATCTTGCAAAGTTGGAATTGATTGATTGAACTTTTTAGTCCACCCAGTCTGTCGTTACCACCGCAGACACGCCCATCCAATGGGCCATATCCACCCAATTGGCCACACCCAGCCAATGGGCCACACTCACATGGCACTCGACAATGCATAAGTGGGTTTTGGGTTGCAGTTTGGGCACTCAGTCTCTAAAAGGTTCGCCATCACTGCCCTAGGATTTCCCACCTTGTAGCTCTTGACCTTCTATAATAATCTTTGCTTTCCCTTTATTTTTTTCTGTCTTGTAAAACAGGCACCAAAGGATCCTTGCAATAAACATGGTTCTTTTCAGTGTTGTGCTCCTTCTTCAAACTAAATCCATGGCAAAACTGAGCTCCAGAAAGAGGACAGTAACTGAGTTTACTCTTGGTTCATATCCACTTTGTTTTAATTTTCTGCACATTGCCAATAAACACCTCAACCTTTGCCTAACAAAAGGGACTAACATTTGTTTCACTAATTGTTTGAAGTCGTAATGTGGTTTATTTGGTTTAACATAATGCATATAAATCAACCAATTGTGGTTTGTAAAGCATGTTTATAAGATAGTACAATGTGTGAACATAGTATTAACATAGAAGCATTTCAAACAATGTTGGTTCATTATAAAAATTATGGTATGTAAACTATACTGAGAGTAGAGTAGCGAACTATAAGGCAAGGAAACTTTAATCATTTTTTTATTTTAGAAAGTTGTTTAAACTTCTTGAACTTGAATCACATCTGTAACTTCTATCCCTGCTCTCTCAAGGGGTAGCAATGCATATCAGAATTTTTTAAAAAATGTTAAAGCACCATGTTTGGTCACCAGGATGGCCTGCTTATTTATTTTTAGCTCTAGATTGGAACTTCAACTTTGCTTACGCATATACTGCTATAATGGAATATTTGAATATTTTTGAATAATACTATATTTAACTGAAGATTATTAGGAACTATTAAACAATATTCAAAGCTATAGTAGTCCTAAGCTTAAAACCATTCATTTAGTGATGATTCAATGGTAAAACAGCACTGAAAAATGTGACCAATTTTCATATTTAACTGTTGCAGCATCCCTGTGGTCAAATGATGAAAATTTGGGTGCTTGACAACTGGCATGTATTTATGACGGTCATTGTGTCCCAGGGTCATGTGATCAGCTTTTGCGACCTTCTGACAAACAAAGTCAATGGGGAAGCCAGATTCACTTATCAACTGTGTTACTAAGTTAAAAAACTGTGGGTAATTCACTTAACAGCTGTAGCAAGAAAGGTCATAAAATGGGACAAAACTCACAACAACTATTTTGCTTAGCAACAGATATTTTGGACTCAAATTGTGGTCATAAGTTGAGGACTAGCTATGCCTGGTAACTCTGTTACTATGCCCAGTAATCTATGCCCGATAACTTTAAATAGTTTTACTTAGCAAGCTAACAGCATCTTTGGCCTGTTAATAACATTTCTGCCTCACCTTGCGAAGATTTGCATCCATATGCAAGAATCCATATTATGAACATTTAAGTTGTTATTCACACTTTGAGTGGCATCTTTGTCTGCCATTGCTTGTTTAACAGCAGACATCCTTACAGCCTCTGCTCTGAAAGCTGTTATTTGAGTATACAAAGCTGTTTGTTGGATTGAGATGACATTATTTTGCCACCCAAAACAATTATTCTCTCTAAAGCAGACACAGGTGATCAGACCCCTTAGCAATTAAGAAGCAGAATCAGGCTTCTACATAGCGAATGCCACAGGAGGTACAGAAATACTGCTTAAAAGAAAATGTCTCAAGTTAAAAACACATCTAAACCTACCATATAGAATATTAACTATGTAAAAGGGGAGAGGAAAGGAAGAACAACGTATCCTATCTTCAACTGGCACACCTGACAGAATGAAAAGGTAAGTGAAGGCTTATCTAAACAAATCACATAATTAGTCAAATTGTGTTTTTGCACATGAGACCCAGGGCCTATCACCACCACAGAATTAAAATACTCTTTCCTCTTGTCTAATTACCCTCCTGTCTTTGTTGCCTCTTTTCCCAATCACTGCAGGTCACTTCACTTCCTTTAAAGGACACAAAGCCTAGCACAGTGGTGGTGAACCGGTGGCACGCGTGCCAGAGGTGGCACTCGGAGCCCTCTCTGTGGGCACGCACACCATGACCTGGAGATGGCTGGTGAAAATTTCAGATATAAAAAATAATACAGTATTTAAGGATGATTTAAGGCAGTCTCACTCAGAGATGGGATAAAGACAAAATCATGTTAAAAGGGCATAATTGTGCTATGAACTGAACTGAAGAAACTTCCTGGATGAGAAGCAAAACGTTTTCAAGAAAGTTCAGTTGCCTTTTGGAAAAGCACCTTCAGGACAACCATGAGCTGAATGATTGAGAATCTGCATAATTGAGTTATGGTTAGGTGTAAGCACATCGTGCTAAAACAAGCAAACCACATAGTGGTTTTAGCATGATACATATACTTAGCAATTATTCATTGGTTCTCTTCTAGGTTCATAGGCTCCCTACATGATGTAGAATTTTCAGTTGTTGAGTTTCTAATCACAAACTCTAAACCTGGAAGAACAAGGTCCCATTTTAGATGATTCTCAGGACAGAGAGTGGGGAGAGCAAATGGATGGATCAAACATCATGATCATGTGAAAAGAAAAAAAAGGTAATAGATGAAGAAAAAAAAGGTTTTAAGCCTGCTTAAGCCACCATAGTAATTTTATATTTTATTCAGTGGAAGAGGATTAATTTTAAGGGAATATTTTGTTTAACTCCTCACCCTAAATATACATCATGGTTCACAAATAGCAGCTGAATTCAGATGCTAACCAAACAAGCCATGTTATGCCTGAATGTGCTGTGTGAACCAAATACAAAAGGAATTTAGTGACTTGCAGCTGTAATCATGCCGTTCTTTAGGTACACTTAGACATAATGTGACTTGTTTAATTGGGGCTTAGTATGTCATGTGAACTGTGGTTTGTAAATTGTGCCCAGAGAATGGCTGGTGAAAATTTCAGATATAAAAAATAATACAGTATTTATATCTCTTCTGTGGTGTGGCTGGCTAGTTTGGAATCCTGCAGAGGAATGAAGAATGAATTCAAGGTCTTCTGGTAAATGTGGTGTATTGCACAATTTAATCTTAATTCATTTTCAAAGTGGCTTCACTTGTCACAAATTTATACAATTTGTATAAAAGTTAAACGCACAATAGTTGATTTATGGTAGTGATAGATTGGAGCAAGAAATATTGTCCAGATTACATTTTACAGGAGACAGTATTTTCTGATAAAGATTCCCAGCTATAATTGGTCATAGATAACTCCTGCATAACAACTCTGGGATTTACATGTTATATTGCCCCTCATTCTTTCTTCCCCTTCAGGCTGCTGCTCAGTTGCTCCTTTTATCTAGTAATTCATTCTCAACTGCAGTTTTGTGCTTTCACCACAACTCATCAGAATCCACCTCAAAGCCTAAAGCAGGGGTCTTCAAACTTGGCCTTTATGACTTGTGGACTTCAACTCCCAGAATTTCTCAGCCAGGCACACTGGCCTAAAGGAAGCCTTTTTGCAAGTGAACCAGATTGAAACTTCCCTTTTATTTTGGAGTCAACTCTACAATGGATTGAAGGAAACAGAAATGGGGAACATGTATTGTTATTGTTACTGGGTTTTCCCCCAGGGTTAAATCTATGACAACTGGATCACCATATTTCAGCGTCCTAATATTTCAAAAGTATAGAATATGTCCCAATTTCTGTTTATACTGTATTATCATCGTGTCTGAATTGCTTCATTAAAGAGCAAGCAGCTGTTTGCCAGAGATTTATCCTATAATAAACAGCCATTTCCTGTCTCGCTTGAGAGAAGGGAGAAATATGATCAAGCATGATGGTAATTTTCCAAATGCAAGGCCGTATTGAAATGGTTGTGAAATAGAATTTGAATTGGAGCACCTGATATTAGATACAAAATCTGTAATATTTCTTATAATGAAAATACTTGAGTACCTTATAGTACTGGAATTTTATTTCTGAAAAACTTCTGATTCCTATTTTTCAACAACCTAGTCTTGCAACCTAGCCTTTTCATTTTTTTTACTGAAAAGTTTTATAAAAATTACCGTATACACCCCAAAACCCACCCACCCTAACCCCCCCTCCCTCCCCCACTTCCCAGAGCTGAGTACAGGGTTACAAATATAATATCAAACTCTAACTAACATTAACCAACTATATAAATAACCAAGTCCATAATGCGCTTTAACTCCCCTTTAACATAAGTATAAACAAATTAAAAATAAACATAATAATATAAACAAGTCAATATTATTAAACAATACAATATCCAAATTGTTAACAATACTAATACTAAAAGTAATAATAAAACTAATAAAAATTCTACTATAATAAACTATTAATAATAATAATACTCTAAAATTTACTCATAAACTAAATGGAACTTTTTAGTCCCATATTTATTCTGAATATAATCTATCCATCTTCTCCAAACCGAAATGTATCTTTCTTGTGAATGATCCTTCAAGTAAGCAGAAATTTTCGCCATTTCTGCTAAATTTGACACTTTAAGCGTCCGTTCTTCTATAGTAGGCAAGCAATCCTTCTTCCAATATTGCCCTACCAATAACCTTGCAGCTGTTATCAAGTTCAACATCAAGTTAGTTTCTTTAACATCACAATCTACAATAACACCCAATAAAAATAATTGTGGAGTAAACTTTATCTTTCTCCTAAAAATCTTTTGAATGTTCCACCAAATCTTAATCTAAAAAGCTTTTATAAAGTCCACCAGATATGAAAATAAGTAGCATCCAAGCTACCACATCTCCAACATTTGGGCTGTAAATTAGGATACATACAAGACAACTTTTTAGGATCCAGATGCCATCTATAAAACATTTTGTAAAAATTTTCTCTTAAATTTTGGGCCTGGGTGAATTTTACATTTCTAACCCAAATTACCTCCCATATATCCAATGGAATCGGTTCTTGAATATTTTGGACCCATTTTACCATACAATCTTTAACTAAATCCATTTCCGAATCCAATTCTATTAAAGCATTATAAATTCTCTTTATATGCGCTCGATTTTGATCTTTAATCTGTATTACCAAATTCTCATCCATTAAGGTGATACCAACCTTTTGATCTAGCTTCCACCTAGCCAACAATTGATTATACTGAAACCAAGACTGTACAATATTTTCTTGCTTTAACTCAACTAACGATTTTAATTGCCAATCATTCCCTACCAATCTAAGTAGTTCCTTATAAGAAATCCTATCCAAATTCACACCCATAGATACCCCCTCTATCACGTGTCCAGGAATTCCCCAGATTGGTATTTTATAATTTAACTTATAATAATACTTCTTCCAAACATGCAATAAAGCTCTTCTTAAAATATAAGATTTAAAAGCTTGATCATCATTTCATTTTTTAAATATAATGCATTTAAGTTTTGTTTGAATATCTGATATGTTCCTACAGGTCCACCATGCCCAGCCTGGTACTTTCCAGATATGTTCACTTGGAGATATATTTATTTTTTCCAGTAGTATGCATATCAGTTTAAAAAATAATAAAGACCAAAACCAAAGATCTACCTACATGTATGATGTGGTCCCATCTATTTTATGGCAGCCCCTAAATCAGAGGTCCCCAGCCTTTTAGGCACCAGGGACTGGTTCCATGGAGAGAGGTTTTTCTGTGGACTGGAGGGGGTGTGGTTTTGCGTGCTGCCTACATCCTGCGGATGGGGCTTTCCTTGTTTGTGCGGACCGGTTGCTGGCATGCTGTGGCTCGGTACTGGTCCAGAGATCAGGGTTGGAGACCCCTGCCCTAAATCATTTTTGGTAATCTCATTGTAACAGTATTTAGGTTTTGATGTTTCCTTGTAAATTCTCCTGTACATATGAATTTGAGCCCTACCTTTTAGCTTTGGAGCATAACAAGATCATACAATTATCTGCTAGGATGAAAGGTAAATATGACTAAGCTGATCCTGGCTCCTGATGAATTTACATATTCAGTTTTCATTACAATATTACAAATGCCATTTGTTCTTCTTTCACTTTCCCCCCCCCCCACTGTCTAATCTAATCTAGTTTTTAATCCTAGAATTCCCAGGTGATTTCCAGCCAAGTATTAACTGGGACCAACTCTGCTTGACTTCTGAGACCAGTCAAAGTCAGCTACATGCTATCACCTGTCTAGCCAAGTCATAAATGTTGGGAATGTTTCTGAGCTCCAGCTGTTCTTGCTAAGAAAAAAAGCAAGTCTATTATGCGATAAATGATATATCATTAATCATTGTTGGCTTTTAAATATGAAAAGGATACAGTTGCTTCAGAAGCCAAGGCAGGCAGGATATTTTGAAGTGAATTTAAATACTATGTGGAAAGCATCCAGTCTGTATTTGGTTGCATGAATTCAAGCAATGTGAGATGATTTTATTCTTTTCCAACAGCATCCAAGGGCAGCCTCAGTATTTTATTTATTTATATTTCACATTTCTGAATTGCAGATCTCCCTTAAAGATAGGATGTATAAAATTTGATAAGCTTAATTACTCATGATCTTGGAATGACTGGCAGTGATTGGAAGAGAACTTAGACCAGTATTTCTCAACCTTAGCAATCTTTAAGTCTGGACTTCCAGCTCCTAGAATTCCTTAGACAGCCATAGCCCATTGTTGAATAGTTATTATAGGTAAGGTTTTTTTCCCCCATTGGTGTCCAATGTAAACCTATATCCGTGTGATTTAATCTAATTTGTTTCTTGTCTTGTCCCATTGTTGGTGGATATACTTAATTACTATTAAACTTTGATCTTGTGAAGTAAGGCTTTTTAAAAAAATATGTTAGCATGTTAATTTACTTCAAGTTTTAAAAATGATTTCCAGGATAATCTGAAATTGCAATAAAATATGACTAAATTTTCACGGCTTCTTTTGCTTTTTGTCTGACTTGAAGGATATTATGGTAGCTACTCATCTATGAGATTCTATGGTAGAGAAAGAAAATCGTTTATTGCCAGAATTATCTGTGAAACTACAGTATTCTTTTCTGATTCATTCCATAGGTGTTGGCTAAAGCTGCCCAATGTAGTTTTTCCTTCTTTTTTAAAAAACAAAAAAAAACTTGGCATACATCTAAAATTAACTCCAACTTTGTTAATGTATAATAACGGTATAATTTATCTTTTGTCTTTAACCTATCAATGGGATTGGTGTGTGTTTCATCAAAGAATGATTACAGTAACTGTAGATTTTCTCTAGTGAGGAATCTGCCATTGCTTGCTGGCTTATTTTTTCTGGAAACAAAAGTAGGAAATAAAACCATCAAGCACCAGGTAGAGAAATTAATGTAAATATCTGCAGGTGTTTCCAACAGCCTGTCTAGAGCAGTGTTTCTCAGCCTTAGGAACTCTAAGAGTGTGGACTTCAATTTCCAAAATTCTGGGAATTGAAGTCCACAATCTTAATGAGTTGTTGAGGATGAGAAACACTGGTCTAGAGATTAATCATCCAAATGTATTGATGGTGGTTGAACCTGTATGTAAATACTACTGAGCTGCTATTCCCAGGAATCCAAGCCATTATAAAGGGTAGAGTCCAGTAACTTTTGTAGAGTCAGATATTCCCCACCCTGATTTATGACTTGCATGACATGTGGTCAAGTTTTTATCACTTTCCATTTGTCTCCTTTCTGACACACTTAAGAGATCTCAGGATCTTTAAAGCTTCCATGCTAAAAAAAATGTTTTTGAGTGGTCCTAATAAATATTGCCTTAAAATAGCTATATAAAATCAGTTAATCTCAGTGTGAATGGCCATCAAAGCCAAGAGAGGTGTCTGTAATATAGCTGGCATCTACATATCTTTATGTAGCAGTATTGTGCTGACCATCAGCATGACTGAGGATGCACATTTTAAAAAAAATATTGACTAGGCCTTAGGTCTAAAGAAATAGAAAACAATTTTTTGCTTTGTATTATTGTGCCCCTTGTCTTGACTATTTTAGAACATGGCCAAGACATTTCATAGTATGGTTATGGGTGGTTTTATTTTTCCCCTTGTTCTTTGGCTCGGATCAGACATTGTGGTATGTAAACCACTTATTATTTCCAATTATAAGTGAATTCACTATGACTGTTCGTTCATCAGTCCATTACTGAACCATGATTTAGTACAAGGTAATCTGGCTGTTAAATAATGGTTAAAAGTTGGTCAAAGTGTGTGTGTGTGTGTGTGTGTGTTCAGAAAATAGAATCCACAGAAACCACTATGTATTGTATGCGGGATCGTGGGAAGTAACATCCTCTTCAAACGGAGAATACTGTGGAGCAGAAAAGGAACCTTCAAAGCTGCCCCACACCAATCCCTCACAAACTCTTCTGGTTTTCATTCATAAGACCTCCGCGCCTTTTTTACAAAAAGAAAAAAACTTATCGGAACCAGATGCTGCTCGTCAGGGAATTAATTAGGGGTGGGGGTGGGGTCGTCCATTACTTCTGCAGCTTTTTATAAAACCAGAAGGATGCAGATTTCCTTCGAGGCGGATGGAAAGTTGCTTCTGTGCACCAGTTGTGACCCTGCTGGAGGAGGTGTGCGCAAAGGAAAGGCGCTCGAACAAGACGCGGAGAAGGGGAGTGAGCGGTCCGTCCCACTTTGGGGGGGAATTAGGGGGAGGGGGGAGAGGGTGGCGGCGGCCTGGAGATGTCAATGGCTCCCTCCCCCCTGCGCAGCCTGGCCCGCGCCGTACTCCACAGCGCTGGCTGCAGCGGGCTGGTCTGGTCAGGCGGCCGCAGAAGCCAACTCGCCCCAGAGAGCAGGTTTCTTTGTTGGCAGCCAGTGGGACGGTGGTGGCTGATTCCCATTAATCTCCCGCACTGGCCCCCGCCGTCTCCGTTTCCTGTCTTTGCATATTTCTCTGTCTCATCGCTCCCCTCCCCCTCTAGCTTCTCCACCAAAAGCGAGCGAGAGACGGAGAGACCGGGGGAAATCTGTATCTGGCCAGGGAAGCGGCTAGGAGCGAGGCGTCCAGCGAGACCTGCTGCCGCAGCTGGAAACCCGCGTCTGCCTTCTCTCAGCCGCGGGGCGGGAACCGCCTAGGTAAGGAGGGTGTGTTTGCACGCGCGCGTGTGTTTGTGTGTGTGTGTGTTGTGTGTGTGAGAGAGAGGGGGGGCAGAAAGTGGGGAGAAGGGTGGGGCGGGAAGATGAGACTCGCCGGCGGAGTTTGAGAGCGCGTGTGTGAGAGAGGAAAGGTTTCGGTCGTCTCCGGTTTGGACTCGTGGTTCGCGGCGTCGTTGGAACGTTGCCTCGGTTTTGAGTGGGTGGCTTGTTTGGAGTTGCTGAAACGATTTCCCGCTCATCTCTTACTTTGGGGGGAAAATCTTAATGCAACTTTGAGATACGACGGCAGGGACTGCATCGCTCTCTCTTTTTTGCTCTCCCCCTCCCTCCCCCTCTCCAGCCAATGGACTTGCGGCGTCCCGTCTCGGTGGGTAGGTGGCGCTTCGACCTCGTAGCTCTGCTTAGGCGCGTCCTATGGCTGCAGAATCGTGGGCAGTTTTCACATCACGTCTCCCATGTTAACTGAGTTGTTGTGATTTGGTAAATTAACCCAGTTGCCCAAGTTCGCTTGTATGCCATTTGTACACAGAGCGGGAGCATCTCAAATGGCTCTCTAGTCTTTGGCTATAGAGTAGCCTTCAAAGGTCTCTAGTAAAGCCCTAGAGACCACCCCTCTTCCTGTGGAAGAGCTCTCCCAAGTTTAACTCTGTTATGAAACAGTTGTTCAGATATAGGAAGAATATTTCCAGGCTTCCTGCCCCCACCCCACCTTTTCTTCTCCAGGCTAAACACCCACTTCCTTCAACTTTGAATGATAAGAGTAGTGTTGGTGGAGGTCCTTGTATCATCCTCCTCCTGTTCTTTTTTTCTTCTTCTTCTTTCACACACCAGACTTTGGCTAAGGTTGCTGGAGAGCCTAATATGATTATACTAATTTATCCTTTCTTCTGAAAGGATTACACCACATGTCTATGGTATATGGTCTATGGCAGGGGTCTTCAAACTTGGCCCTTTTATGACTTGTGGACTTCAACTCCCAGAATTCCTCAGCCAGGCACACTGGCTGAGGAATTCTGGGAGTTGAAATCCACAAGTCATAAAAGGGCCAAGTTTGAAGACCCCTGCTCTATGGTCTGGTGGAGAAAGGCATTATGAACTAGGAAGAGATAAAAACTCTTCCTGGATCCATAATATAATGAAAAAGCAAAATTCACTTGGTAATTGTGGGAGACATTAGATGTCATGGTTGGAATATGGATAGTATCCAGATGCTTGCCTTATTTGCTCTAAGGAGCAACCTAATAAAAAAGCACAAATTATAATGGATAATTCTGTTTTCAGATGTCCATATTACTGAGAGGTCTTTTGGATACTTAGTATATTGGAGCACATCTGAACAAGAATAGTAATATTTGGAAATAGAATGTGTGTAGATGACTAAGTTTTTTCATAATGGATTCCCATTTTGATTTCCTTTAGTGAGTAGCAGACAAATGTTGCGGTGACTGTGACTGTTCATTAGGATCTATATCATTAGATAAAGTACACATAGTCTTTGTAGAAGTTGGAATAAATTCTCACCCTGCCCATTCTCGGGAGGTTAGCAGAATCCAGGACCCGAATCTCTTTATTATTGAACTGCTGTGTATCTGAAACTGCAGTTTGCAGAGCTTTAGGGCAGTCTATTCTCTGTTGGTGGAAACACTCTCCTCAGCCCAGTTCCAGGTTCTCCTTGGTAGATGTAGTGTCATTGGCTTTGAAGGATGATACCAGATTGTCTTCATACTAGGTTTGAATTGGAAAGAAGAAAACAAGGTGATACGAAGCATCCAAATCATGCTGTATTTTTCCTTCAGGTTCCCAAAATTATTTAATTATTTCTCCAGATATGTTAGATTACAATCCTTAGAAATGACAAGTTAGGAAAGGACCAGCTTGGAGATGGTTGCAGTAACCCAATAGTGGTGCTTGTCCTATTCCTGTAGAGCAACAACAATAATAATAAAGTTGGGAGGGACCTTAGAGGTCATCTAGTCCAACCTCCTGCTCAGGCAGGAAACCCTATACCATTTCAGACAAATGGCTGTCTAGTCTTGGAATCTCTTGGATTCAAGGGTGAGGAGACTAGTGGTGTGTTTCACAGAACAGAAAGAAGAATCCATTCTTCAGCTCCTCCTTGGAAGTCTTCAATATTAAATAAATACTCCATATTTGTACTGTTAAACAAGGCTTCATTTTTCTGTATGGCATTTAGAAAAAGAATTGCTGGTTCTAATCTGAATTCTTTATTGCAAAACAGTTAAAAATGGAATAGAACATGTGGATTGCTAACAAATACAGATGGAGGAAGAAATCCAGGACCTTGTTTTAAAAAGCATGTTTGCTGGAATGAACAGATGGTAAAAATGTGCAAAAGGAATCATGGCTGGCTGAAAAGTTAAAATTTTGATTTTTGTAAAATTAAAAATGACGTAAGATGGGAATAATACCAGGGCAAAACATCAGATGTGATGGACTATAATTACATCAAAATTTATCCTGCCTATATTAAACATGAACGATGGGTGTTGTAGTCAAACATTTCTGGAAAGTATCCAGTTATAGAAAGGTTTTTTTTTTGCCTTTTGTTAATTTCTGGATATTTGGAGACATTTTGGACTAAACTTCATCTTCATTTCTATTTGCTGAATCAAGATATTGTGAGCAAATGGCACTTTGGGGAACTGAGGTAGAACAGCTAATTTTACTAGAAAATTAGTGTGCAACTCTTGATCAGATTGGAGACTCACTGTTCACTTTAAATTTGCTGAAATATATATAATCTGGCACTGCTGATACATATCAGTTTTTTGTGATTAGAGGAACAATATTCATGAATTGTGCAATAGGATAATACATTTTTATAAGAAAGAGATCTAGCTTTGGTGGACATTAGAAGATACCATGCATATTTGCAAATTTTAATTTCCTGCTGTCTATTCAAATTCCCTATTTTTCAGGGTAGATTAGATCAAAGAGGTGCTTGCCAAAGAGTCAGCAAGCATTAAAATTCTGATTCTTTGGCATCATGTTATCAGAACTGATTTAGTCTGTGAACATTATGAGACCAGGTTTAGATAGGAAATCTAATCCCAAAGCAGTTGCATGCCTGGTAGAATTCAAAGCCTTTTTGGATTATCAGGAACTTTCTTATTTACCTGCCTTGCTTCACCCATCCCCACAGTGGTTGGCGATGCCCTTTCTTGAAGGTTATGCATTTAGGTTTTGTCATGGCACATTGAATCAGTTTAAAAAAATCTACTTATGCAGATTACCATCTGAAATCAGCCTCAGTGTTTTCTGGGGTCTCCTATACCATCTTACCATTCATTCAGGTATTTTGATACAATCTTCTCAATAGAAAAAGGCTGATCTGTGAAAACTGGGAGCTCTGAGGGACCTGAGGGAGGTCTTTCATAATCAATATAGAAAGCCTAGTGAATGGGACAGGCATTATCTTCTGTCACCATGACTAAGCCATCCTCATGTCCTCCAGTTGTTTTGACTGGTGTGCTGAACACCAGATAGCTGGAGATGGGAGTTACAATTCAAAATATCTGAAGTAGAGATGGATTACCATCCACTAGAACAGTTGTTTCTCAACCTTGACAATTTTAAGGCATGTGGACTTCAACTCTCAGAATTCCACAGCCAGCATTGCTGGCTGTGGAATTCTGGGAGTTGAAGTCCACATGCCTTAAAATTGTCAAGGTTGAGAAACACTGCACTAGAATTACCTGTAGCATGGCTATGTATGTACTACACTGCAAAATAAGTGGATCAGCACTGACACCCACAAAACAAAGGGGACAAATCTGTATATTAACTGCATGGTTATCAAAGTGTCAGACTTGACTTTATTTTTTATTCTCTATGGGACCATCTCCCAGGGCGTGGACACAGACTGTTTCTATAGCATTAATGGAAAATAGGTATTGTTTTTCTTTTAAAATCAATAGCTTGGCAAATGTATCTTTTAAAGGAAGTATATAACCCTTTATTATTCATTGTCATTGTGTAATGCACTGATGGTAATACACCTTGGCAAGTCATTCTGTGCTGAGGAGCTAAGCCAAAAACATGGAACTGAATGATTTTATACACTGTATTGTTTTTAATTTGTGTTCTGTAAACATTAATAGCCTTCTGGGAAAAGTCACCAAGGAGGTTGGACTTTCTCATTTAATTACTGGTGAAACAAATGTTACCATTAAAATACAGCTGAGTGGGATCTGCAGGATTGGAATGGTTGAAATGTAGCTCAGAAATGTAAGCTATTTTAAGACTTAGCTCCAGTTTATCCAATAGCCTGTTGGTTACAAAAAAAAACCAAAACCCTCTATGTTAAGACTATGAGGTTCAAAAGAGCATGTGAAGCAGAAGTACTTGCATAAGTGGTATTGTTTTTGCTGCTTTTATCCCCAAACTATTACATTCTGGATAATGAAGAGATGGACAATTCCTGTGATATGTTCTGGCTGTATATTCCAGACTTTAATTATGGGAGAACAGTAGGTGGTCCCATGACATTATAGAGATAGTGATGCTGCTGCCAATTTCATAGTAAACACTATCCTTTTCAAACCGTGGGTACAGTCCTTATTTACAGAGGGACTCCTCTGACAATTCAATCTTTCCCACTTGTGAGACAGGTTACAAGTGTCTTATCCATGAACAATTACAGTGATCACAGATGTGTTTGTTGAGACTTTCTGAGAGAACCTGAAAAAGTTGATGTTTCTGAGTTCAATCAATGATGCTATTAAAGTCCTTCCCTCCCCCCATGGTTACCTCTATAACCAATAGTGTCCTTGATGGTTGGTATGCTCTGGTATTATTTGGTCCTTGTTTTGAATCCAGATGTGAAACTTGTGTCCGTTAATTCTTTTGTACAAAGTTTGCCCCATTTATCCTATGCAGTATCCAGAGGAACATTGCAGGCAGATGATGGCTTGTGGGGTTCTTGGTGCTCTCTGAACTTGGTTGTTTTCTTACAGGTG